TCTTTGCAGCCTGAAGAGTTGAGAGAAATCATTGAGAAGACAAGAGAGATGGAGCAGAACAATGGCCACTACTTTGACACGGCAATTGTGAATTCAGATCTTGATAAAGCCTATCAGGAATTGCTTAGGTTAATTAACAAACTTGATACTGAACCTCAGTGGGTACCATCCACTTGGCTGAGGTGAAGGAAACATTCCTTCCGTGGTATGTTGGACTTGATCTGGCAAAAACTGCCAATAGTAAGATTGCCCGACATTGCAGCAAAATTGAGGATAAGGTGGAAGGCAGCAGTATAAGCTGTAGACCTGTTCTTAGATCTCTCAAATTAGTGAGAGGACAATTCCCTTAAGCAGTTTGTGCACAGCATCCTTTATTTTCTGTACATGGTTTTAGCGGTTCTTGTGTCATTTTGGGATTCTAAATGGAAGCTTTCAACAGAGCATTCCATTTTGTCCTGTTAAAACCTTTTGTTTTCATGTAAATCTTTTCTTAGTTGTATCTCTGCGAAGAACTTATATACACAAGTGTCCATGTCTCACACAAATATTGATGTGTAAATATTAACACTTAAATGACTTTATTGGGAATTTGAGCAGAGGAACTGTGCATATATACACTGGGCAAGGCAGTAGTTGCTTAGGAGATTAATTTAGTCATCAGAGATACTTTCCTAAAAAGAAAAAACATGGTGCCACTTGGGTTTAGAGCTACTTTATTAGACTTGAATTCATTTGATTCTTAAAAAAACAAAAACATTCCATTAGAAGCACCAGTTTTTTTGCTCAAACTTTGTGGATCAGACTGTGCACTCAACACACTCTAATAATCTACTTAAGATATACAAAATATGCTTATTTTTAAAAATTATTTTCTGAATTTTTTTCTGAAGTTGTCTCAACTGATTTGCTAACCTTGCTTCCTTTCTCTCATCTGCATAGTATAATAGAATGTATGTTACATTTTTATGAATGGCAGGTGTTCATTATAATCTGTATTGACTGTTAAAAAGTTTCTTCCTCATGATGCAAATAGTTTTTTATATACATGGAAGGACAGCACGTTTGACAGTTTTTGCATTTTTATGTATGAGCACAGTATTCTATGACTGTGCTACATATATAGGTAATAAACTGGAATTCTGTTGATGAACATAGCTGCTGTACTATATATTAATATTTAATAGATAAACAAATGGTCATTGATAACACTTGTTCAGCACTCGAATAAAATTATATATGTCTTTGGGAAATACTATGACAATTGACTTTAAGATCAAAAGGTAAGGAAGACTGAAAGTCATTTGAACATTTTAGGAAAAGAATATTGGAGAGAAAAAGGTATAAAGTATATAGAAATAGGTTTTTAACCTAACAAGGTCTGCCTCTTATGACCAGAATGCAACAGCTTGCTAAATCATAAAAGGAATATTTAAGCTAATGGGATTTTTGTAGTCTCTGTAGTTGTAGCTTTAAAATTCAACGTCTATAATTGGCATGGAAAGTTAATTTGTAGTCTTTTCAAGCCTTTAGGATAGTGTGATGTGTGACCTCAAATGTGAATGCCTTGATTTTATTTTTATGGTGACTTTAGCTACAGCATTTCCTATTCCCAGAGCTAAACACTGGAATAATACTGACATCATTTAATTTAACATAAGAAATTGTGTTTTTAAGGAGTAATTTGTCTCGGTGTCATGTGTATGTTTGATTTTTTTCCTCTTTTACATAATTTTATTTGAACAAATATAGTTTATATGTTGTCTTTTTCTGTTCAAATTTCCATGGCCTAGTAAGTTGGCTGGAGAGTGTGTTTTATGTGGAAATATTTTCAAGGTGATTTTCCTTAGGAAGAAAATAACATTCTTGGGTTGAGGGAAGGAATGCCATACATACTGTCTCTTCAAATCTGAAAAACTCCAGTTAAGAGCCAGGAAAATTCACAGGTCACACCGATTTTTTAGCATTAAAAACTAAAGAATATACTCAGCACTTAATCTTTTCAGTTTTCCAGTTTACTTCTCAGGAATGAAGGATAGTCTATGGTCAACAGTGGAGTTTTGTGATCTGCTTATTGTAACTGACAACTGTTTTTAACTCCAAGAGCTAAACAAGTTAAGTTAGAGTGAGGGTGTAGGTAGTGTCAGTGAGTGGCTCTTTGGCCCCTGTAGACATTAGGTCTGCGCTAGGGCCATATGCTGTCAAGATTCAGACACATGGCTTTTAACAAGCAAATGTTGTACCAAGGCACAGGCCATGCCATGCCATACTTTTAGGAAGTCTGAGGTGATAAATATTTCAAGGTCAGTGAAGTCCTATCATTCTCCCTCATCAGTAGTGGTAGATAGACATGTCCCAAACTTTTCTAAATCCAAGTGATAAGAATGTGCTAATATTCAACAATCCTTAAAGTGAATTGTTGCTGACCCCCCACAAAAGAACATGGAAAAAAGCATTGCTGTAGGCCTAGTTGTATAGCCACTCTGGCCAATTCCATTTCCTGTCCCTCTATGGTTCTGACTGGAAACCCGTGTGGGGGAGGTCTTAACCAGTTAACATAGAAATGATATCAATAGCTAATCCAATGTACTTGGAAAATCCAAATGAGGAAGTATTAGGTTGGTGCATATCTTTATTTCTCAAATTTTCCTAAGTCAGAACAAATGGAAAGAGAATATTATTCAGACTAATCCAGATTTGCTTTCTATGAAAATCTAATGTCTGGATTTTCCTTTTCTCATGGCCTAAGAAAATAAGTATTGATAAGGAATGATTTGAATGTACTTTTGTGAATGTGGAAAATATAAAGCAGGGATTTAGCCTTAATAAAGGTAACCTTCTGACATCTGTTGTTAATGCCCCTTTGTACTCTTATCCTGTATCTGCACTCTGTTATTTCGAGATGTCATACTATACACTGTATTGTAAAAATAAAAAGTAAAATTATATTTCAAATTTTAAAGCCACTGAGCAATTTCTCTTGCTGGTGAGTTATATCCTCTGCCACTCAAGGTTTCTACCCATGTAAAGACCACCCTCCGCTTCAAGTTTTTGCCAAAAGCAAGACCACTAGAACCTCCAGGTGCAACACAAAATACCTTTTGATTTTCTTTACAGAGGGGTAGTGCCCCCTGTTGGCACAGATACAGGTAGGTCCTGTTTCCTTAATTATTAAAACCAACAACTTAAGTGTATTAAAGATGGACAACTCAAGGCTGTGACCTTGAAAGTTTTCTGAAGAAGGAGGTATGTAATACTTAGGCAAATGGACCTTATTTGCAGCCTAGGATTTGAGGACACTGAGGCAGCACGTGAGTTGTTACATACTTTGTTTTTCTTCATTTTCTGCTATACATCTCCCAAAAGTCATAAACCCTTTTTTCTTCTATACATCTCCCAAAGGTCATAAATCATACACCAACAAAAAGTTTCTTACTTATATACACCTTTCACCACAGTTTCAGCTTTCTATTCCTATTCTTGACCTATATTCTTCCCCTATGAATCAGGTAACTCTGACTCCACACAACAAATTATGTGTCCATTGTTTTCTCGATTTCTTGTTAACAAATGCTAAACTATAAAATCTTTTGCATTTTCGTAACCATTTTAACCAAGGCCAATACATTCCAGGGCTTTAAGAAGCCACAGGAGAAATCTAGGGTCCTTTGGCTTGTTCAAGTGAATACTGAAGTTACCTAAATGTGGAAAACCACTAATCTGGCTCCCTACTTTTAATTTCTGCCTCTTAGAAAGGCAGTACATAATGCTTAACATGTAAAGACCAAATGAAATAAAATTATATTTGACTTGCATTCCAGCTATTCTCTTCGACTTGTCAAAGCCTTGATTTCCTCATCTGCAAAGTGGAGATGGTAGAATTTACAGCTCAGCAGGATGTTGGGAAGACAAGATGTTAAAGTAGTTTTGAACTGAGTTCTTGGTTTTCTAGTCATTACCAAATTTACACTGAACCTAAGATTTTATTCTGTGTGCAGCAACCAGAGTTCCTAAATATCAGCTTCTCCAGAGTCCCAATGTCTTTAAATACCCAAAGTCTGAAACGTAAATGAAACAGAAAGGAAAAGTTAGGGTGTAAAGGTAGACTGCTTAGACTTAAATTCTGGATTTGCTACCTTCTAGCTTTTTTACTTAGGACTAGTCAAATTCCCTGTGTCTCCATTTTTTCCTCTGTAAAATAGATATTAAATATTTAATAGATATTAAAATAGGATATGCCTCTTATGGTTATTGTAATGAATGAAGTAATATGAACAAAATACTTAAAGAAAGTGCCTGGCACATAACTAAGACCTGCTATTTTATAGGAGATGTTAAATGTTTGCAAAATCATTTAATACTTTAAAACTGTCTAGACTAGCTGGATGCGGTGGCCTCATGCCTGTAATCCCAGCACTCTGGGAGGCTGAGACGGGCAGATCACTTGAGGGCAGGAGTTGAGACCAGCCTGGCCAACATGATGAAACCCCATCTCTACTAAAAATATAAAAATTAGCCGGGAATGGTGGCACACACCTGTAATCCCAGCTCTACTCAGGAGACTGAGGCAGAATCTCTTGAACTCAGGATGCGGTCAACGCAGTAAACCAACATCGCTGCTACTGCACTCTAGCCTGGGTGACAGAATGAGTGAGACTTTGTCTCCAAAAAAAAAAAAAAAAACTGCCTAGGCTGTCACTTGATTAAAATACAATATTAATATAGATCGTGTTACAGTTTCAGAACTAAACATTATTCCATGGCCAATCATGTCAAAAATGCCTGGAATTAGTTGCAAGAAAGACTGAGTAATCATGGATGTTTATGCCAAATCAAACAGTACTAAAAACCTTAGTCACCTGATGCAGCCACTCAAATGCCTCATCTTCATATATGAAAGCATGTTTTTATCATTTATAAATAGTAAAAAGTTACCTTATTTCTTCAAAATGGGAACTAGTTCTTTTTCTTAGATTAGCAAATAAGGAAGTATTATGTCCTCATAACTTATCGACAATCATTTATTGGTACCCCCAAATGCAACAGTTGTCTCAAAGTAAGCCTTTTTGTAAAACACTGATATATGGAAGGGGGAAATGACTACCCACTTCCTACATGTCTGCAGGGAAAGCTCTGGCTGATCTGAGCATGAGAACATGACTTAATAGTAAATTAATAAAAAAGGAATGACTTATTTTTAAATCATTTTACTCTGTTTATACCACAGTCACATTTAAATTGGCAGAACTGTTCCCATGACAGACAAGACAGGGACCTGTCATGCAAGGAAAAGTAAGTGCAGGTTTTCATAAAGCTGGAGAAGTACTATGGTAACACAAGAATAGCTGCAGCAATCTCAGACAACAGCGCCAAGGTTTGCAACTGGGTAGGAATGAAAGCTGCTCCACAGTAATTGGCCTGAGACCACTAATGCTTCCTAAGAGGTATTTCCTAATATGCTTGGTAAGCAGATCACATGTAACACAGATGTAAATGGAGGATGATAACACTTTTGCAGAGTAAATTCTGTAAGTTCCTGGGCAGGTTTTATAGATCTCTTTCATCCATGATGAATGGTTGCTAAATTATGATTCTGCAAAAGTAATCCCATAAATAAGACATCCAGGTAAATTTTATAGCCAGTGAAATTCTTAGGCCAGAAGATAAATAGATAAAGATCAAATCTACACCCTGTGAATTAAAATGAAGCCAGTGTTAGGGTTTCTGAAAGAACCAGAACAGGAAAGATTATTCAAACAGAAGATCCTCATCCTTCTCTTCAGCCAGAAGATTAGCAGGCTCCAACAATTCTCCAGCTGCTCTCCTGTGTTCCAAATCCTTCTCAGATTTTTCCTTTAGAATCTTTTTCTTCTCCTGTATTTTCTTTAACCTATAAAATAAAGGGGGTAAATTTTTTAAACACTTTTTCAATATTAAGTAGATTTGATTTTTTTTAGTTTTGTAACAAGGATAATAAACACCTATTCCTGGAAAAAAAACTTGGTACTTTTATTAATTTCATTGTCAGTAATTTATTTGTAACCCTTTTTTAAAAATAATTTTAAGCTAAAAATACAAAATTTTAAGCTAATAACTGGTTTAACCTGAGATAGAAGCCTTTATTATGTTATATTTTGAAATCCATTTTCTAATGGAACAGATTTTGATCATTCAGGCATTTTAAAAAAATTTTGGGGTCAACACAACCCTGAATATCATAGCAGAGGAGAAACTAAATAACTAAATAACCTTTGATAATTAAAATTACAAACCATAATAAGATGCTAACTCCAGGTCTAAGACCCCCACATCTTTCCTAAATACTCCTGCCTTCACCTACCTCCCATTTCTCTGAACTGGGTATACAGACCCCTGTACACCACCAGTTTAATATTTATCCCTGTTGATTCTAAATGTTCATAACCAATTCATGGACATGCATACTTTCTCTCCAAGTGCTATGCGAATTCTCCAATGGCGTCATTTATGTACTATTTGGTAATGCCTCCTCCAAGTGCTTTATACCTTCTGAACATACTCAACATGAAATACATATTTGTTGAATAACAGCTGAATTCTAGTTTCTTCTCTCAGTTTTTATGTAGCTGACACCCAGTCTAAATCATTTAATTTTAAATAATAATCGAGTGCCAGGCACAGTGGCTCACACCTGAAATCCCAGCACTTTGGGAGGCCGAGGCGGGTGGATTCCTTGAGGCCAGCAGTTTGAGACCAGCCTGACCAACATGGTGAAACCCCATCTCTACTAAAAGTACTAAAAAATTAGCCAGGCATGGTGGTGCATAAGCTGAGACTGCAACATTGCACTCCAGCCTCGGTGACAGAGCAAGACACTGTCTCAAAAATAATAATAATAAAAAAAGAGTAACTGAGTCTTGACTAGTCCAAAGGTAGTGAGTTGTCTCTACTATTCAGTCAGTTACAGATCAATCTCCTTGTTCTAATATTTTTCCCACTTTTCACTACTGCATTTGACACTCTAACATTTTTTTTTTTTTAATCAAGTCTAAGTAGTTTCTCTGAAAGGCCTAACTTTTTGGAAATGCCATGTTATAGGTACATGTAAAACTTGACATTTGTTTCCACAACTTTGGTAATATTTCTTGCTTCTTATTTATCAGAATGAAACACAAGCTGTACTAACTCTAAAGAACATAAACCAACAAGTCAGTCAGCAAATTGAGCCTTTGGAATATGGAAAACAAAAAATTATCAATAACTGCCAATTTCAACAAACCTGTAGAACTCTTCTCGCTCTCTCTCATCCAGCTCTGTGATGATATAAGCAAGAGTACGTTCAATCCGGGGAATGATGACTAGAGTTAAAATATATATATATATATATGCGTGAGAACTTAAAACCCCTTTTTTCAAATTATCAATGCTCATTTGTATAACAGTTATTTTTTGCTAGTTGTAAAATTAATGTACATTTAATGCAGAGAACTTGAAAAATAAAAACACAAAGGAAAATGTAGTGTAACTGGACCATCCAAAAGAGTAAGTACTGTAAACATAACGGTGTATACCCTTCTAGTGTCTTTTCTATGCACAGATAACATATTGGACCATAACAGATACAACACTGAATGTGCTGAATTCTGTGAATATATAACATTTAAGCACAGATGTTATTTTAAATATAGTACCAATTACCTGTTAAAAAATCAAGCTGACAGAATGCTTGATTTTTCGTTTCTGTCAGTCATTAGGCTCAACTACATAGAATTTACCTATCCTGCTTCTAGAATGTGAACTCTGAGGGTGAGAACTACAAACTATCCATTTTTGTTTTGCTCCCACTTTCACGTACAAGGCCTGGCACTAGCAAGCAGTTGAAAAAGTTTTAATGAGATAATTTGCCTGTAATCCCAGCACTTTGGGAGACCAAGGTGGGTGGATCATGAGGTCAGGTTAGCCATCCTGGCTAACACAGTGAAACCCGTCTTTAATAAAAATACAAAAAATTAGCCAGGCATGGTGGCATGTGCCTATAGCCCCAGCTACTCAGGAGGCTGAGGCAGGAGAATCGCTGGAACCCGAGAGCTGGAAGCTGCAGTGAGCTGAGATCACACCACTGCACTCCAGCCTGGGTGACAGAACAAGACTCCATTAAAAAAAAAAAAAAAAGATAACTTTCTCACTAACACTAATATGGCCCCAAGCAAAGGAATTTCTTTGCTTCAAATTTTGCTTTCTTACCTGAAATTGAGTGTTTCTTTAATGAAAACTAAGTTTATTGAGAAGCACTGTCAACACTAAGCAGTCATATTTTTTAAAAAGTGAAATAAAAGGGATGGAAAATAAGTATGTCAAATGGGAAATCTTTTTAGAAACCAAGGAGAATGGCCTATAGGGATTTAAAATTAAATATTTATTAATGTACTCAAAAAGTTACATCACTCAACCATTAGAAAGAACTAAAGAAAACACTAAGGATCTACCATTAAATAACTGCTTGAATAATTGGAAATAAATAAAACATTTCTTAATTTTTAAATCACCACTTTCCTTTGTGTGTAACTCCCCCAGATCATACAAATACTTCTATCAGAATGCTTCATAACACTTTTTTTGCACTACGGACACACTTCTCTCTTTTCATAGTGGGCAGAGGCAGCTTCTTATTCACCTTTCAGTCTTCAGTATGGTGCCTAAATCCTAGCAGTTTCATGACAAGTGGGGAGGTTTGGACAAGTGACAAAGTAACTCAGTACCTGATAACTCACCATGTTCAATGGCATTTACACGCCTGTTGGTTATCTTAATAGCTTCATCCAAGGTAACAAAGGAAGTCTAAAATAAGGACAAATTGATAATGTAAGCCTAATTCTTAACATAAGCAAAGTCTTTCTAATCATTCCCTGATCACTTGACTCCACCAAGACTGCACTTGTAGAAAACATTTGGGAACCAAGACAACTTCTTTTCAGCATGCTTAAAAAACAAAATTCTTAGGCTGGGCGCATGGCTCATGCCTATAACCCCAACATTTTGGAAGGCTGAGGTGGGAGAATCACTTGAAGCTGGGAGTTCAAGACCAGCCTGGACAATATGATAACTTGCCTCTACAAGAAACAAATTTTAAAAATTAGCTGGTCACAGTATTATGAATCGGTAGTCTGTGGTGGAGATCATTTGAGGGTACAGTGTCACTGTACTCCAGCCTGGGTGACACAGTAAGTCCCTATCTCTTCACAACAAAACAAAAAATGCTTGTGAGATTTCCATTGGGCTAACACTATTTTCATGCTATTGATAACCTACATGTCACATTTGGTAGGTTTCCAAATTAACCTGCCTGGGCAGGTTGAGGGATCTTATGATTCATGGTTTCCATCCTGTCCCTGAGTAAGGAAATATTAAGTTTCTCAGATGTTGACATACTGATTAATATGCAACCTACTGATGCTGAAAAAGACACTGATTTGTTTCTAAATCATGAAGTTTTACTTCATCATTTACTTGCATATAGAACGTTTCAGCTTGTATTTGTAATCTGTAGCCAATGATTGTGACCTCTGTATCATACTCTCCAATGAAAAGGACAACTAGGGAATGAGGAGTCCTCCCTTCTCCTAAACTTTCCCATAAAAGCTTTCCAACTTGTAGCAAACTCTAGAACACAACCAAATTTGTTAGTGTCTTCCCCGGGTAAATCCTCACATTTGGCTTTCAATAAACCTGTATCAAATCATTTCTGCCTCAACAGCCTTTACTTGAGTTGACACTATTATAATTTGTTTACTACAGACTCACCTAAATAATGTTAAGAGAGAATCAAGCACTAATAACCTAGATACATACTAACTGGCCATGTAGGGGGGAAAAAGGCCTTCTATGCACAAACCTGTTTATTTACATTTACATTTAAATCTAGTATCAACTTGCTTTTCTCACTTAGCAAAGAGTGAAGCTGGGTTCACACTTCACAAGGGTGAACTTGTAATTGAACTTGATTTTTTATATTTTTTGTAAATGTGGGGTTTTACCATGTTGTTCAGGCTGGCCTCAAATTCCTAAACTCAAGTGATTTCCCTGCCTCAGCCTCCCGAAGTGCCAAAAGCCATGTGCTTGTAATCCCAGCACTTTGGGAGGCTAAGATGGCAGGGTTTGAGGCCAGAAGTTTGCAACCAGCCTGGACAACATAGCGAGACCTCATCTCAATAAAAAAATTCCAAAATATTAGCCAGGCAAGGTGGCACAAACTTATTGTCCCAGCTACTTGGGAGGCTAAGGCAGGAGGACTACTTGAGCCCAGGAGATTCAGGCCGCAGTTAGCCAAGATCGGACCACTGTGCTCCAGCCTGAGCAAGAGAGCAAGACTCTGTCTCAAAGAAAAACAAAAAAACAACTGTACCACAGCACATACATTTTGCTAATAATAAAAAGTAGTGGCTGGGCGTGGTGGCTCATTCCTATAATCCCAGCACTTTGGGAGGCCAAGGTGGGCTGATCACTTGAGCCCAGGAGTTACAGACCAGCCTGGGCGACATGGTGAAACTCCATCTCTACAGAAAATACAAAAAATTAGCCGGGCATGATGGCACATGCCTTTAGTCCCAGCTACTCAGGAGGCTGAGGTGGGCCCAGGAGGTTGAGACTGCAGTGAGCCGAAACTGTGCCACTGCACTCTAGCCTGGGTGACAGAGTGAGACATCCATCTCGAAAAATAAATAAGTTTTTAAATTAAAAGGGGCCATGCACAGTGGCTCATCCTGTAATCCCAGCACTTTGGGAGGCTGAGGTGGGTGGATCACCTGAGGTCAGGAGTTCAAGACCAGCCTGACCAACATGGCAAAACCCCATCTCTACTAAAAATGCAAAAATTAGGCATGATGGCACATGCCTATAATCCAAGCTACTTGGGAGGCTGAGGCAGGAGAATCACTTGAACCCGGGAGGCAAAGGTTGCAGTGAGCCAAGGTAGCACCATTTCACTGCAGCCTGTGCAAAAAGAGTGAAACTCCGTCTCAAAAAATAAAAAAATAAAATTTTTAAAGTAGAGAAAATGGTACAAAAACCCTCACTTCAGAAATCAAAATATTACGCTTGTTTTACATAAGATCATGGGAACAGTTGAAAGTACAAAGCACAGTATATGCTGACTCAAGACCTGACTCTCCTCCACTCAACTGTGAGAAATCAAACTACAGGAGTTCTCCAGGTCTTTTGCTACTTACCTGCAGCGAAGCTAGTTCCACCAGTAGTTCCACTGCTTTGGCGTAATTCCTCTTTAATTTAGCCAACTGTTCTCCACCTCTGGCTAAACCAGTCAGTTCATAACCTGAAACAACCAGTCAGACAACATTTCTAATTAAAGAGTAAATAATCTTCCCTATAAAATTCCCCAAGAGACAATTCAGAATAACAACAAATACGGAAAGATAAACTCACTAATCTTCATTAAATGTAAACATGAACTGCCTATCTTACTCCCCAAACACTATAGGAACATGCTACTAAATACAGTTTTCCACAAGGATACTATTCTAAATACAACTAGAAGAGAAGCTTTTAACCAACCGTCACTTCACTAGCTTGATGCCCTTTGAAAATCATATTGCCTGATGCCCAAAGTACAATGACTCTCTGCTATCAGGTGACTCTCTAGAATGCTCTACTTCTTCATATGAAATGTACTTAATATGCTACATGATTTGAACTCATAGCCTCACCTCTTCAAGTACCAGGTCAACTGGCCGGAGCCACTGCAGCTCCCCTATTCCACATGATCTAAATATTACATGAAACAAGAAAATATGAGTGCCAAAAGAAAGAATATTGTTTCTTTCTCTTTTTTTTGAAATGGGGTCTCACTCTGCCACCCAGGCTGGAGTGCAGTGGCATGATCTCAGCTTACTGTAAGCTCCACTTCTTAGGCTCAAACAATCCTCCTACCTCAGCATAACTTTTTGGGTAGATATGGGGTTTCACCATGTTGCACAGGCTGGTCACAAACTCCTAGGCTAAGGCGATAGCCTGCCTCAGTCTCCCAAAGTGCTGGGATTACAGATGTGAGCCACTGTGCCCAGCCAAGAATATTGTTTCTATGAAAAAAGTTAATACTTCATTTTGGAAAGAAAATATGCTGTCAAATTAGGAATGAAATTAATAAGACAGTTATTAAAAGAGTGGCAGTGGGCCATAAAAATCTGGAAAGATTCAGCATTCAGGTTGCATCACAGTGTCTAAGATCTTATTTGACTTTAAAGAGACCTAAACTAGGAATTATTAGCAGTACATTGTGGATGTAGTACATGCAGAAAGACAACACAGAAGTCTCATCAGTGAATTCATACTCAAAAGGCCTTGTATTTTTTAAATAGCAAATGATTCTACACTGATATATTTCTGATAAAATATTGAAATATTTTAAGATATGTAGGGTTTTATGACTTCCTAGCATAAAACCATTTTTTTTTTTTTTGAGACAAGGTTTTGCTCTTTTGCCCAGGCTGGAGTACAGTGGCGTGATCAGAACTCACTGCAACTACCTAGCCAGCTGGAGCAATCCTCCTGCCTCAGCCCCACAAGTAGCTAAAACTACAGTCATGTGCCACCACACCTGGGTGATTTTTTATATTTTTTGTAAATATGGGGTTTTACCATGTTGTTCAGGCTGGCCTCAAATTCCTGAACTCAAGTGATTTGCCTGCCTCAGCCTCCCAAAGTGCCAAGAGGCATAAGCCACTATGCCCAACCATAAGACCTTTTGATTAACTAATCAACTACTGTCCTGACTATATTAGATAAGAGGATTTCTAACTCAGGAACCTCTCATCATCTAGCACCATTTTCCAGAACTTAGCTCATTTAAAGAGGAAATAGGAAATCCCAGAGATACAAAGTAATACTAAAAGTTTCATACTTACTGTCAGTTCCTTCATGGTAATGTTCAAATACTGGCAAAGTAACACCTATAAACATAGAAGCATATATGGATTCACAAACCTTTAAGTTCTGTTTCTTAATCACAGTTTTCTGTGTTTCTTTTTCATTGAACTCAAAAATCAAGAGGTGAAGTCTGAAATTGTAACTGGTTTCAGTTAATGAATTTAGGAACCTGCCTTCTTTTTTTTGAGACAGTCTCATTCTGTCACCCAGGGGGCAGTACAGTGGTGTGGTCTTCAGCTCATTGCAACCACCACCTCCTGGGGTCAAGTGATTCTCCCATCTTAGCCTCTTGAGTAGCTGGGACTACAGACACACACCACACCCAGCTAATTATTTATTTATTTATTTGAGACGGAGTTTTGCTCTTGTTGCCCAGGCTGGAGTGCAATGGCACAATCTCAGCTCACTGCAACCTCCCAGGTTCAAGCAATTCTCCTGCCTCAGCCTCCTAAGTAGCTGGGATTATAGGCATGTGTCACCAAGCTAATTTTGTATTTTTAGTAGAGGCCGGGTTTCTCCATGTTGGTCAGGCTGGTCTCAAACTCCTGACCTCAGGTATCCACCTGCCTTGGCCTCCCAAAGTGCTGGGATTACAAGCATAAGCCACTGCACCTGGCCTAATTTTTGTATTTTTGGTAGAGATCGAATTTCACCATATTGGCCAAGCTGGTCTCAAACTCCTAACCTCAAGTGATCCACTGGTTTCAGCCTCCCAAAGTGCTGGGAGTACAGATGTGAGCCACCATGCCCGGTGAAACCTACCTTCTTAAGTGTTCGTTTCTATTCAAAAGTCAAATTATCCTGAATAATAAAAAACCTGATTGTTAATGATTTTAACATGTAAAGCCAATCGACTTGTTCTAAGTAGAATGAAGAAACTAGAATGTTAAGATCTTGCTGTATAAACAGGTTAATTTGAAAATGTCACCTCTTTTCTCCCCAAAGGGTTTCTAAAAGGTTGAAAAGTTACCTGCTACATTATCTTTCTTCGCTCGAATCTTCACTTGGGCTTTATTTACATTTTGGATAACTGTAGTACTGCAGAAAAAGAGAAAGCCTTTATTTAGCAGACTCTTTAGAAATAAACCTACAGACCCATTGGATAGTTTTAACATTGAGACCAGACCCACCGGATAGTTTTAACATTAAATGAGACCAGACTCACCAGATAGTTTTAACATTAAATGAGACCAGACTCACCAGATAGTTTTAACATTAAATGAGACCAAGAGTGAGGTGTCACAACTAAGTATGTTTTGATAACTGTCCTTTCTCCAGAAAAGAAGAAAAATCATTACTGCCAGAGGAGGGCCTCTGAAAGCAGAGAATGAACAACATTCAAAACATTAGCAGTAAGAAAACCACCAAGAATGATTTTAAAGTTTGTGGATTGCTTATGTTTTCAGTCAGAGGTATGGTACACATGGATATAACTTTAAGGGTTCTTCTTTTGCTGGTATAAGATGGCGAAAACTCCTTTCTAGGTTTGCTGTTGAATTGGTTTAAGCTGGCATTCAATTCCTTTACCCTGGAATTTATCTTCCATATGGCTTTGTGTGACTTCTCAAATATTAAGTGCCTTCCTGACTGGATGCAATAGCTCATGCCTAGTAATCCCAGTACTTTGGGAGGCCAAGGCAGGATTGTTTGAGGCCAGGAGTTCAAGACCAGACTAGGCAAGGTGGCGAAACCCAAAACTACAAAAATTAGCCACTCTCATAACCCAGTCTCAAAACAAAACAAAAATAAATATTACAGAAGTGTCTTCCCCATAACTACCCTAAATACTCACATACCATTTACACACTATTGATGTTCTCCATCTGTTAGAAAATTCAATGCAAGCTATTATCTTACCATACTGGCAAAAATTAAAGCCTATCACTTCAAAGGGCCTTATGAAGACCCAAAAACAGTGAAACCTCCTAGATGATAGGCATCATGTCATTAAGAAAAGACTAAAGTCAGAATCTTTGAAAACAACTTCTACCACTGTCCCTAATTAGCCAAGTGACCTCAGGAAGGCATTTAATTAAAACTGAGAACAACAATGCTTGCCTTACCTATCTCATAGTGTTTTTTGGAGAAGTACATAATATATGTAAATTGGCACTTACAAGCCATTTTGTATGCTTTGTAAAGGACTTACTGATGTCACCAAAGCAATGAAGTTCATGAGTTCATGCCTTTTAAATAATTCAGTTCTCAAAAATTTATCCTAAGGAAATAATTCAGTAGAAACAAAAATACATATGTGTAAAGATGTTCAATGCACTTTCCCCAGTATTCCAAAAACCTGAGAATTAACCCAAATATCCAGCATTAGGAGAAAAAAAAAATACATCTTGAGAAAAATCACACAGCCATGCTGAAAATCAGAAAAAATGTTTATGATACAATCAATGTTAAATGAAAATGGACTCTAAAATATTAAGATACTTAAAATATTAAGTATCCTGTGCCTGCAACTATGTAAGAATGCAGTTCATTAAGTAAAATCCAAACTCTTTAATCTTGCCTGCAAAGCTCTACTTGATCTGATTGGCTCCCTGCCTGCCTCTCTTACCTCATTTAGAGCATTCTTCCTAAGGTCCACCAGGTACGTTTCATTAGCTCTTTTTCCTGCCTGAAATACTCTTTCCCCAGAACTTACTGGCTCCTTTGGTATTCTAGTCTCTTAAAAGAGGCTATTCCTGATCCCCCAATGTAAAGTGAACACCATATTTGCTTCTCTCACAATTCCTTATTTTAATTTTATCATAGTGTGTACTACTGCATGTCATGACATTTTCTTTCTTTTTCTTTTTTGAGACAGGGTCTTACTCTACAGTGTCAAACTGGGCTCAGGTGATCCTCCCACCTCAGCCTCTCTAGTAGCTGGGACTACAGGTGCATACTACCATGCTCAGCTCATTTTTTAAATTTTAGTAGAGCCGAGGTCTCACTGTGTTGCCCAGGTTAGTGTTTTTGACTCCTGGGCTCAAACACTCTTCTTGCCTCCCGAAGTGCTGAGTTTACAGTTTTTGTGTTTTATTTTTAATCCTGTATGTACTTAACAAAAGTATTTTCTATGAGTGCCATTTTAATTTTTTATTTTTTGTAGAGATGGGGTCTTGCTTTATTGCCCAGGATGGTCTCAAAAACCTGGGCTCAAGTGGTCCTCCCACCTCACCCTCCCAAAGCATTGGGATTACAGGTGTTAGCCACCGTGCCTGGCCCTGTATTACTTTAGATTATTTGTGAAGTTGGGAGCTTTTCATGCTTTTTGGCAATTTGATTTTCCTGGTAAATGTCTTTTTTTTTTTTTTTAGAGGTTCTATATGTATTCTCCCTAATGTGTAAAATGTTAAAAAGATTTTAACTTAAAAAAAAATGTTGATACTAGGTGTGGTGGCTCATCCCAACACTTTGGGAGACTGAGGTGGAGTTATGGTGATGGGGTTAAAAGCTTTCTTCCTTATTATTACTGTATTATTTGTCCTTATTTCTAAATTTAAAATGCTTATTTCTAAATTTTAAAATTCTTTATAAATGAAATTATGAGCCTGAAATCACTTTGCTTTGTTTGAAAACACCCCATTTAGTCTCCTTACCTGAAGTCCCCTGCTGTGAACTTGGCTTCAGCTAGTGAAAAGGCAGCTTCTCTCATCACTTTACCCATCAACATTTTAGTCTGGAAAAGCATAAACAAAAAGCAAATTCAACCAAGCCTTCTACAAGGAAAAATCCTATTATAATTATATTTCTTTAATAACCATCAGTATTTTATGCGGGCTGTGCATGTAAATATTGGTTTGATAATGATAAAACAAATAGAAATTTCCAATTTTTAACAGTTTTGGTTATGATCACTAACAATATTACAAAACTATGTGAGTTTTATAATTCAATTTTATAATGAAAACAGAATACATTAAGAAACAGAAAACTGGACAGGTACGGTGACTCATGCCTGTAATTCCAGAATTTTGGGAGGCCAAGGCAGGTGGATCACAAGGGCAGGTGTTCGAGACCAGCCTGGCCAACATGGTGAAATCCCATCTCTACTAAAAACATAAAAATGAGCTGGTCATGGTGGAGGGGTGCCTGTAATCCCAGCTACTTGGGAGGCTGAGGCAGGAGAATCACTTGAACCCAAGAGGCGGAGGTTGCAGTGAGCTGAGATTGTGCTATTGCACTCCAGTCCAGCCTGCACAACAGGGCGAGACTCAGTCTCAAAAAAAAAAAAAAAAAAAAAAAAAAAAAAACCGGGTCTTTACTGAAGGATCTATCTTATTCTTTGACTAAGTAAATGCTGATTTACTCAAACTAATCTCTTAAAATCACTGCAGTTGCAGTCAAAACCCTAATGGTGTATTAATTTTAAAGTACCTCTGAAATATTTAATTTGTGACAATATTCAATAATGTTTTAGATAGAAGAAAAACCGGGTCCGCTGTGTAGGGAGTTGGTTTCCCAGGTATTAAAAAACACAGCTAAAATAAGGAAATATTAATACAACTGGTATGGGACAGTTAAGTCAATGAAATAGTCTAGAGAGTTCAGAAACAACCCCAGGTCTATAAAATTTAGCAGAGACCACTCAACTGTCTATACATTTACAAAATGATAAAGCTACCTACCTCTTATCATACCCCCTCAAAATTCAGACATAATTAAGATAAATGTTTAAAGAAAAAAACTAAAGTAATAAAAGAAAATGTGGTCGAATATTTTCCTACTCATTTTAGGTCTCTTCTAAGTCTTATATGTAACTCAGAAGCTATTTAAAGAAAAAGACTAACAGATTTGACAAAAGAAAAAGAACTTTTAACTTTTTTCTTTCTATTTTTTGAGACAAGGTCTCACTTTGTTGCCTGGGCTAGAGTGCAGTGGTATAATCATAGCTCACTGCATCTTCAAACTCCTAGGCTCAGGCAATCCTCCTGTCTCAGCCTTCAAAATAGCTGAGACTACAGGTGCATGCCACCAAGGTCGGCTAATTTTCTTATTCTATCTTTTTTTTGTAGAGACAAGGTCTCACTATGTTGCCCTGGCTGGTCTCAAACTCCTGGGCTCAAACCACCCTCCCACCTCAGTCTCCCAAAGTGTTGGGATGAGCCACCACACCTAGTATCAACTTTTTTTTTTAAGTTAAAATCTTTTTAACATTTTACACATTAGGGAGAATACATATAGAACCTCTAAAAAAAAAAAAAAGACATTTACCAAGAAAAATTGCCAAAAAGCATGAAAAGCTCCCAACTTCACAAATAATCTAAAGTAGTACAGGGCCAGGCACGGTGGTTAACACCTGTAATCCCAATGCTTTGGGAGGGTGAGGTGGGAGGACCACTTGAGCCCAGGTTTTTGAGACCATCCTGGGCAATAAAGCAAGACCCCATCTCTACAAAAAATAAAAAATTAAAATGGCACTCATAGAAAATACTTTTGTTAAGTACATACAGGATTAAAAATAAAATACAAAAACTGTAAACTCAGCACTTCGGGAGGCAAGAAGTAAAGAGTGTTTGAGCCCAGGAGTCAAAAACACTAACCTGGGCAACACAGTGAGACCTCGGCTCTACTAAAATTTAAAAAATGAGCTGAGCATGGTAGTATGCACCTGTAGTCCCAGCTACTAGAGAGGCTGAGGTGGGAGAATCACCTGAGCCCAGTTTGACACTGTAGAGTAAGACCCTGTCTCAAAAAAGAAAAAGAAAATGTCATGACATGCAGTAGTACACACTATGATAAAATTAAAATAAGGAATTGTGAGAGAAGCAAATATGGTGTTCACTTTACATTGGGGGATCAGGAATAGCCTCTTTTAAGAGACTAGAATACCAAAGGAGCCAGTAAGTTCTGGGGAAAGAGTATTTCAGGCAGGAAAAAGAGCTAATGAAACGTACCTGGTGGACCTTAGGAAGAATGCTCTAAATGAGGTAAGAGAGGCAGGCAGGGAGCCAATCAGATCAAGTAGAGCTTTGCAGGCAAGATTAAAGAGTTTGGATTTTACTAAATGGACTGTTTAATATTTGATACTTGTTAAACTTATAATGGTATTTTTACTTTTGAAAGAAAATTAATTAAAATAAGTTAGCAAAAAAATGTCAAGGGCCATGCTAGATTTTCCTAAAATAAATACTAGTGTAAGAAAAGTTCAACCTACCTCTATTATCTTCTTTAGGATCTGTCGGAATCGAAGAGTTAAGGCATCAGATTTTTTCTTCAGGAGGTTTCGACCTGTCTGTGCTCCCTTTAACCGAGCCTTCATGATTGTCTGTGCCCTATATAAGCATAAACAAAGTTAAAGACATTTATATCCATTGTTTAAAAGACAAAAAGCCTTCCCCACCAGTGTTAAAATTATCTTTTATTCTTTGATATAATGAGAGCGAAAACATATAGAGAATTTGTAGCCGATGGGTTTAACTGGTGGTATGGTTTGAATATGTCCCCCAACCTTGATGTGTTGGAAACAATCTCCAGTGCAACAATGTTGAGAGGTGGGACCATTAAAAGATCACTGGGTCACATGGGACCTGCCCTCCCCCACGAATGGATTAATGTCAATATGGCAAGATTGCGTTTTTTATTGCAGGGGTGAGTTGGTTATAAATGTGAGTTCAGCTGGGCACACCTGTAGTTTCAGCTACAGGTTTAAGTGGGAGGATCCCTTGAGCCCTGGAGCCCAGGAGCTCAATTTCACCATGGGCAAGATAGTAGTGAGACTCCTTTTTTTTTTTTTTTCAGATAGAACCTTGCTGTGAGGCCCAGGTTGGAGTGCAATGGCGAGATCTCGGCTCACTGCAACCTCCACCTCCCAGGTTCGATCGATTCTCCTGCCCCAGCCTCCCAAGTAGTTAGGATTACAGGTGTATGCTACCAAGCTCAGCTAATTTTTTTGTATTTTTAGTACAGACAGGGTTTCACCATATTGGCCAGGCTAGTCTCAAACTCCTTACCTCAAGTGATCCACCCACCTCAATCTCCCAAGTACTGGGATTACCAGCGTGAACCACCACGCCCAGCCCGATTCCTTTTTTTTTTTGAGACAGGGTCTTGCTCTGTCACCCAGGCTGGAGTGCAGTGGTGTGATCATAGCTCACTGTGGCCTCTACTCCTGGTCTCAAGCAATTCTCCAGCCTCAGCTTCCCAAAGTGCTGGCATTATGGGCATGAACCACCGCCCTGACCCTGTCTCTTTAGGAAAAAAAAAAAAAGCATGTTCAACCATTTCTTCCTTTCTCTTTCACCTTCTTGCCTTCTGCCATAGGATGACACAGCAAGAAGGCCCTCACCCTTCTCGGCCTCCAAAACCATGAACCAAATAAATTTCTTTTTTTTATAAACTACCCAATCTGAAGTATTATTACAGCAGCAGAAAATGGACTAAGACAACTGGTTTCTCAATACTGTGGATTTCTACCATCAGTGTTCCATAAATGAAAAGTTTATTAATTTACAATAGAAACAATTTTATACTTAATACCTGGAATATTTATTAAATCATAATAAATATTTAGAGGAGCCTTATTTTATGATGCTAACATAGTTTAAATACTTATTTGATTGGTAAGTCAAAATAATATCTATGTTTTTGTTTTCATTGGAGGAATATTGAGGATTTAAAACTCTATCCACTAATATATATCAAAAGTTTAAATGCAATTATTTTCAGGACCAACAATTCCCCTTTGAGGGATTTATCCTATAGATTTATTCCCACATGTGTACAAAAACATGTGCAAGGTTAACAAGATGTGTACTCCAGCCTTACAGTAATAGCAAAAGAGAGAAACAAGCTAAATGCTAAATACATCATAGTTCACCTACAATGGAATGATATGCAGTCATTAAAAAAGACAGGTATATCTGCCTGTAATGTCTATATTACACAGTCTTACTTATGGAAAGTAAGGAATAAATGTGCTTATATAGACGCAAAGAATAGTTCTAGAAAGGATTCACAAAAACTGACAAGAGTTTCCTTTGATAAATGGGACTGGATAGAAAACATGGATTTACTTTTTACTACTATATTCTTTCATATCTTTTGCATTTTATACCACAATAATTTATCACATTTTCTATTAAAAGTGTGATATTAACATATTTTGATATCATCAATCAAGATCCCAACACCAATCATTTTATTCATTTGCAAAAGACTCTAGGTAACAAAAGACATGCATAAGATTCCTGAGAAGTGACAAGCTAAACTTACACTGAAGTCGCCTCACTTCCTTATTTCCATTTTTTCCCCATCCAAAGCCCCAATACCAAATCAAGCAGAAACTGGCATTTCTGTTCTCGCTGCCATATGCCACATAAAATTTAAAAATGAAAAAGTGTGCTGGGTACAGTGGCTTATGCCTGTAATCAGCACTTTGAGAGGCTGAGGTGGGTAGATTGCTTGAGTCCAGGAGTCAAAACCAGCCTGGGCAACATGGTGAAACCCTGTGTCTACCAAAAAAAAAAAAATTAGCTGGGCATGGTAGGGTGTACCTGTAGTCCCAGCTACATAGAACGCTGAGATGAGAAGACTGATTGAGCCAAGAGATCAAGGCTGCAGTGAACTGTGATCATGCCACTGCACTGCAGCCTGGACCACAAACCAAGACTTGGTATCAAAAAAAAAAAAGTATTTGAGTAATAAAATTCAACAATGGATTGTATAACCTAGAAACAGCGTAACCTAGACACAGTGATTTAAGGGGATATAATTTCATATGCCTGGTGTTATAAAATCACATGTACTAATAAACATTTTTCGGCCAGGTGTAGTGGCTCATGCTTGTAATACCAACACTTTGGGAGGCCAAGGCAAGTAGGATAACTTGAGGTCAGGAGTTTGAGACCAACCTGGCCAACATAGTAAAACCCATCTCTACCAAAAAATACAAAAATTAGCCAAGTGTGGTGGCACACACCTGTGGTCCCAGCTACTGGGGAGTCTGAGGTACAAAAGTCACTTGAACCTGGCAGGCGGAGATTGCAGTGAGTCAAGATTGGGTCACTGCACTCAAGTCTGGGTGACAGAGTGAGACCCTGTCTCAAAAACAAAAACAAACAAACAAACAACAACAACAAAAAAAAAAACACCATTTGGCCAAATTCTTAGATTATACTGGAATCTTTTACCATAAGGCTAAGATAACTAAGACAATTCTAAAGCTGAAAGGGACTTTAGACATTAACTTAAAGATTAGAAAAATGAGGCTTAGAAAAGTAAAACAACTTTCTTAAAGTTACTCACTGACTAAAAGGCAGCACAGGAACTTGAACCAGACTTTTGATTCCAGTGACCTTCCCAATTCTCAAACGAAGGCTCCAACCTATGTTCATTGGACCCCAACCATGTGGCTTCCCTTAAAGACAACAATTATCACTGGCTGACTCTGCACTGATTGGCTTCACAAGAGCTCTCATCAAGTGAAGCTGGTTTAGTTTCCAGCCTGAGCAGGACTTATCCAGCCCAATGTGTGGATTTAACACACTGTATTGTTGACACTAAATACCAGAACTTGGGTTCAAAGAGCTGGATCAAATTTAAATCAAACTGTAATACTGCATATTCCAGCCAGTTTATAGTATAAAGGTGAACTGGTTGATAAAACTGAATCTACCATGTTAATTTTAATTTCCTCCCAGGGAATGGCATCTCTGTGAAATGGGCAGTTATAATTCCTGGAACTCTAAGAGTAATTTGCACACTGAACGCTAATATGTAGAACCTGGATTTAATGAACTTCTGTTGACTCCAATTCTTTCATGTGTCTTTTGCTCCCATTCTAAAATTCTCTCGCTTTCTCTGGTACGAAAGTGGGTGAAAGTAACATATCACAGAATAATACTGCTGAATGGAACTGTCTGTGAAACAAGCTGCCAGTGTATTTTCTAGCCCTAGGGCTTTTAACACTTGTTCCTTTACATGTTTCAGAGCTGCTCAGCCCTACTCAAAAAGTTTGACCTTTAGCTAGGATGATGACTTTTCTTCCAGCTGAATCAAAGACATCTGACTACATGACAAAAAGCCTGCTGCCAGGCATGGGGAAAATATTTAGACATTATTTCCTGCACCTGATTTTCCTCTCAATCAACAAGCTGAGTGCTTTCAAATAGTTTTCACATTCATGAGCCTACCATTTCTATTTTCTAAGCCCAAAGATGTCGATTTTTGCCTCTTAGTCTCAAAGTAAAAGCTCCAAAGTAAAAACAAAAAAGTTACCATTCTGACTGCCGTCAAAGATAAACACAGCCAGATTCGTTAAAGCGGTGAAAACAGATTTTATTCTGTAAACCACTGACAGTAGGGTAAAGAGCTGAGTTCAATTCTGGTTTGTGCAGAGGTGACTGGCCATTTTAAAAAGAGAGTAAGGGAGTGGCAGGGAGCCGGCCACAAGTAGTGTAAGAGAAGAGAAAATTTACAAAGGGTTGGTCGTTGTAAACAAAATGTTACCGGACAATTAGGAAGTTAGGATTCTATCCTCCTACACAGACTGGGAGACAAAGGCCCCATGCCTCCTGGTTACATTTTAAAGAAATGACTCTAAGGTACTTGAAGGAACACTTCTGAGTTGGAAGAGGTACATATTCACAATTGTAAGCTTGTTCCATAAACGCCACTGCACTCTAGCCTGGGAGACAGAACGAGACCCTGTTTCTTATTTCAAAATAAACAGGATGGAGGAGAAGAAAGGGAGCAAGTTATGAGGCACATTTGAGAAAACGTCAAAATTTTCTTTACAAACTAGCCAAACACCTACAGTAGTGATACGCCATTTTCCTGACAAATAATTCAGGCCTCAAAAGAAAGGCAACTCGCAATGAGCGTACCAAGCATGGGTTCTTTCAAGAAACATTTTTTGTGGACCTTCTATGGATTGATAAGACATTCTTTCAACCTGGAGAGCGCCCACAGTCCAGTGGGAAGAAAGATACATAAACAAATGTCTACCTTACAATGTGATGAGTGGTATTAACACAGGTCTGAACAAGATGCAGCGGTGAGAGCAAAAGCACTGCCTCAGAAACACAGGAATAATATTCTCTCACAGCAGGTGACATTTGGCGGGATCTTGAAAAATGAGTAAGGGGGTGGAAGATCGAATCCGAAGCCTATGCTAGGGCGATTCGATTCCATCCCCACTTTGGCTTAGGGACCTCTTCTATATCGTCAGTAAACTTCCCTTCTCAGAGCAATTATTATATCTCCTGGGCCTTTCCAGATGAATGTCTGGCTACTACACTGTGAGGGCAGAGGTGGCGACGGTTCGGTTATATAAATCCACTGCCCGGCGCAATAAAGGTATGTGGAATGGATGAACCCATTAATGAATAAAGACAGCGGACCTCCACAAAAGCCCGCCGGCCGGGATCGCTCCGTCAAGCCTGATTTACTCAGGAGGAATGCGCGAAGAGGCCGTCAGGAAGCCTAGTCCCAGAATCACGAAAAGAGCCTGGGAAACGCTCAGGATAGACCCAGGAAACAAGGATCCTCACTGGTGGCCCAGTGTATGGAGGGCCAGCGCTCCGGGTTCCTAACCCTGTGAGAGCGGCTCATCCCATTCCTTCACTTACATTCGCGAGGGAAAGATTTCAATTCGGTCTTTGCCCGACATTCTGATGACTGTTCGGCTCGGGCCCCCGGCCGGGCAACTGATGCTGCAACAGCTTCAGAATCGGCCTCCACAGTGACTTCCACTATAGGAGTCAGCTGGTCGTGTCACTTGACCCCTCTCGTTGCTAAGAGGCAGCCGGAACACCCATTTTCACTTCCGCTTCCGGTTGTCACAATCGAGGGAGGGGGAGGACAGAACAGAGGCATTGCCCGGATGTCGAGGCGCGCACACCGCGGAACCACCCCTCAATGCCGGTTCACCTCCCAACCCCTCAGCGTCCAACTTCCCTGCGGCTGCGCAATACGGGGCACGCGCCAGACCTAAGACTAGGAGTTAAGCGTCCACGTCTTGTCTTTCTCCACCTTCCGTCTGTGGTCACAGCGCCATCTCATGGTTAGCTAAAACTTTGAGCGAGGGTGCAGTCTTCAGCGGAACGGGATCAGAGTCCTATGTCTTTCTTGCGCCTTGAATGTTACTTAGCTAAAGCTAAGATAGCGAGAAACCGTACTTTTCAGGTCCTTCCACGATCTACATTCGTCCTCGTTCTCGGAGGACCCAGACTCTATGGTTAATGATGAAGAGGGCCTCTATTCGTTTAGCGCTTGTTCAGTGCAAGGAGGTTCGCATGCGCAGTGTGGGTGAGCGAAGCGCACGCTGAGGAGGATCGGCGGCCGGTGCGGGAGCAGCAAGCCTGGTCTCTTCTGATTGAGGAAGACGGCGCGGGGTTCCCGTGCGGGAATCACACACATACCTCAGGTGACTAATCCCAAGCTCGGTTTCTCCAAGAACTCACTTTGGTTTGTGTCCAGTGACATGGGTGTTCGAGAGCGGGTAGGCCCCGGGCTAACACCTCCCTTTCCCGTCCCTGCGCGGGAAGTGGCTGGACAGCACCGCCGCCACCCGCGCTGTCGTGGGCCTCTTCGCCGGCTCCGTGTCGGTCATCCTGTGTTCCAGAGGCATCGTTGTTCGAGCAGAGGAATCTCGTGAAGGAAAGTGGGCCGAGTGGATTGTACAGCCTCTACAATATACCGAAAGTGAGAATGCCGTGATGATGGGGCGGCCTCGGGAGAACGCTGTGACACCCTAACTCTTACCCCCAGCTCACGACGCTGAGCACTTTGCTTTTTCCGGGCCAGAGAATTCCATCTTTTCTTCTGCCCCAACAGTTCTACCAAAATTTCCCCTGCTTCTCGGTGGAAACCAAGTCGGACTCTAACCTGAGAAACCTGTGGGATGGGCACCGTGTTGGAAAGAGCTGGGTCCGAGTAGTTTTTCTTTCATCTGATAATTCAATGAGTCACCCCTTGAATCAAAATTAAATGAGACTATTGGGTTTATTACTATTACTATCAGTTTGTCGATTTTTGGCGATAGTGAGAATAGAACTGGGTTAAGCATATGTTGGGTTAATAGTTACGCATAACTAAAAGCCTAAGATAAGGAAATATTTTCGGATTAAATGCAGTCATCCTGAGATCTCTTTATCCTTAAAACTAAGACTGTTTTAATTTTTATTAATCAAAACACATGGTTTCTTGGAGAAAAGGTATAGCAGAGAAATCTTTATTTTCTCTCAATTGAGTTGTTATTCAAGGAAAATTCTCTGTCAGTAGTTTGGGGATGACTTTAGTGAGAATAGGCAGAACTTTACTGCCTATTCTCAGTTCATCTGGTGCCAAATGACAGCGATTCTCAAAAGATGTAGTTGTCTCATGCACAGTAATATTTATATAGACTTGGTGATATTTTCTTTTTCAACTATAATGATGAAATAAAAGCTTTATTTATGTAGCACTCCTATACCAAAAACTAACATTCAGAGAGCATTCCTAATCCATGTTTGATCCAAATTAGAATTATCACTAGAGTTGTCCCCATCACATATTTTGGAAAGGAATGTGAACTTCTATATCCATTATGGCAATTTGACCATGCACTGAGAAATCCTACCTACCATTTGTCCTGCAAGATAACTGACTAAGCAGGGTATTTGAAATTAACCTGGAGTTTGGTGGATGTATTTTGAAAGGTGGCTTATACTTTTTACATCAGAACACATAACAGCATTATAGTGTGCTGTGATATTGAGGTTCTGTGGGTTAACGACATTCTGGAGCTCCTGCTCTAGTACTTGTTAAGCATTTGTCCTTGAGGAAGTATTATAATTTAGTATTTATGTTCCTCCTTTTCCTGTTCATTGCTTCACTGTGCTCCTTTCATAGTACTTTATATTGTAATTATTTGTTTCCTAGTTTGTTTCCCACTCTGCACTTAATTACTTAGATAAGAGTCTGGTTTTTTTTCTTTTTTTTAGAGACAGAGTCTCTGTTGCCCAGGCTGGAGTGCAGTGGATTGATCTCAGCTCACTGCAGCCTCCGCCCCTGGGTCCGAGGGATTCTCCTGCCCCAGCCTCCAAGTAGTGGAATTACAGGTGCCCACCACCACACCCGACTAATTTTTGTATTTTTAGTAGAAATGGGGTTTCACCATGTTGACCAGGCTGGTCTGGAACTCCTGGCCTCAAGTGATCCACCCACCTGGGCCTCCCAAAGTGCTGGGATTACAGGTGTGAGCCACCATGCCATGCCTGGTAAGAGTCTTTCTTGTTGTATCATTAGTGTTTAGTACGTAGTAGATACTGAAAAAAAAAATTAACAAATTATACTACAAAATGAAAAATAATGCCTCCTTTGCCTTTTAATATTTTTTGTTTGACTAGCACATTATGGTTTTCAAAATGTTTTTACACATACATGTCATACCCTCAGTAAACCTGTGATGTACATGGCACAGATAAGAAACTGCGCTTCAAAGGAGTTTACCTTTCCCAAGCAGCCACTTCTAGTAAGTACCAGAGCAAGGACTGGAACCCAAGTCTAGAGCTGTTCCCCGAGTTTACTGTTAATTGCATGACTTGACACTTCTTGACCAAATAAAATAAGTCAGAATGCTATGAAAAAGAGAGCTGAATAAATACGTGGTGTGACTTTGATATTACTGAATGACTTTTTTAAGTTAAAAAACATTTTTTTAAGTTAAAGTTATTAGCATTTCATTGGGCAATATGTTCAAAATTTATCAACCAATATATGGTTTTCATTGTATGGATTCTTTTTGTACTTACTCAACTACTTGGTGTCTTTACTATGAGTAACATACCATCAGTAGTATTCCTTTACTTACCCTTTATGTTGCAAAGAGACTTGGGCCTCCTGAAGAAACAGTATTCATAGTTTATATCCCTTCAGGATTCTTTTACACGATTGCCTCAGGCTGGAGTGCAATGGCCCGATCTTGGTTCACCGCAACCTCTGTTTCTCAGGTTCAAGTGATTCTTCTGCCTCAGCCTCCCTAGCAGGGATTACAGGCATGCGCTACCACACCCAGCTAATTTTGTATTTTTAGTAGAGATAGGGATTCTCCATGTTGGCCAGGCTGGTCTTGAACTCCTGACCTCAGGTTATCTTCCCACCTCAGCCTCCCAAAGTGCTGAGATTACAGGCCTGAGCCACCGTACTTGGCTTAGCTATGTTCTTTAACCATCAAATTAAGCTTTGCTTCCCCCAAAAGCATCACCTTTACTATTTGGAGAAACTTGGTAAGTAAATGTGGTTTTCATCTGTTTAATGTCTTAAAACTGTTCCACACATTTCTGTAACATAGTTTAGTTTGATGCCCAATTTGAAACTTTTTTTAGCTCTTAAATTTGAGAAATTTACATACACATATTCAACAACAGTTTCCCCACCATCCCCACCCCCACCACCGAAAAGCCTTGTTTAAAAATGAAACAACCAGTCAGCTGTTTCTTGGCAGTTAATTCTGGCCATTGAATGTCTACTTCTCTTTATTTGCTAAATCCCTGTTTTGTAGGGATTTTGTATTCTCTACAAAGAAATACATCTCTACTGCTGTGATTAACATGCTGCTTTTTGTTGTCAAACAGATGAGTACTAAAAGTTTGCACTTATTGGTGGTGTGTGCTCTAGCACTGAATATATATATTGTTCCTTTTTGAGTAAAATGTTTCTAATCATGTTTATGAATAGTTTTGAGAATATAGTCTGATTTATAAGAGCACAGACTGGATCTAAACTTCATGGATTCAAATCCTAACTCACCACCTGTTAGCAGTATGTGAAAGAACAAGTAACTTAACCTGTGCTTCACTGTTTTAGTCTATAAAATAGGGAGAAGTAGGGAGAGAGTTGTACCACAAGGAGATAGGCAGTGGCCAGTTCATGTAGGATTCTGTAGGTAGCGAAAACATATAAAAGTTAGTAGGAAGCTACTGGGAAGATATATGCAGGTGCCAATTAATAAGTTATCAAATGAGTTTTCACAAGTTTTTCTTAGGCCTTTAAGTTCTGTTACTACCTGTCTTTTGAGCAGTGACAACAGTTAAGGTTAACAGAAAAACATGAAAATCATTAAACCATGATTAATTTGAGAGCTTCCTTTTTAAAATATGCTTCTACCCATGTTACAATTTCACGCTTGAGGATCTTGAAAGAAGAAATGCAGAAAGTAGGTTGGGTGGATCAAAGGGAATAATTATAAATATCTTTAATGCTTAGAGGTTAAGAGAAACTAACTTTGTAGTAATGGAGATTAAAGCTTTTCTCAAGATTAGGTATACCTATTCAACAAAAGTAAGGAATATTTGGGAGTAATGGGGATAGGAGAAGCTAGACATCGTGAATTAAAGGAAAAAAGTGTTAAAGGAGGATGCATTTTAATTTGTGATTAAAATTTTTTAATTTTTTGTTACTTTGACATGTGACACTTTAATTTTGGCTATAATAAATGCTAGAATATATCATTTGGTATATTGGTTAGGATTTGGGTAGAGAATTCTTTCCTTTACACAGTGAGTGGTAGCATATATAATCTTTGCTAACTTGGGCAAAGAGTAGCTTTAGTTTTGCTGATTAGTTATAATAGTGATGCTTCCCATCATTTGATATACCTTAAAGTAGTATTTTACTCTTGAGGTATTCCTTTAATCCTTAGGTCTTGGAGTGCTTTATAGATGGTCATTATTTTTTATGATTCCTCTGAAATTAATGGCAGAGAATCACTGAAGCACAAAAACATTGAGTGAAATAAAAATTAAAGCTTGGTTCCTGAACATCATCTCTTTTCTGGTACCACTTAAGAAGTTTCAAGGGTTAAGAAGACTAATAACTTTTTTTTTCATTTTTTATTTCAGTGGCAAGAAGTAGAAAATTAGTTTTTCTTAAATTTTCACCTTGACTGAACACTTATTTAAATTCTTTTGTTTAAATTGCAGAATGCCGGGTCTAAGTTGTAGATTTTATCAACACAAATTTCCTGAGGTGGAAGATGTAGTGATGGTGAATGTAAGATCCATTGCTGAAATGGGTGCTTATGTCAGCTTGCTGGAGTACAACAACATTGAAGGCATGATTCTTCTTAGTGAATTATCCAGAAGGCGTATCCGTTCTATAAACAAACTCATCCGAATTGGCAGGAATGAGTGTGTGGTTGTCATTAGGGTGGACAAAGAAAAAGGTAAGTGAGAAAAGTCTCTGTAGTATAAATTTCTGGTTTAAAATGGTTTATTTAAAAATACATTTTTTGTAAATTGTATGCTGCAGCTTAAAAAAAAAAGCTCGTTTTATACTTAAACTCGTTTACATACAAAGTTGTTAGAAAAGGTTGCCAATTAGCTGTTTAAACAAGATCTCTTAAGTTAGTAGTTTAATTGGTACGTCCTAGGGTTTTATGGATCAAATAACTTGAATTTTATTTCTAGTGTTTGAGGATCTTGGTAATTGACTCATGGTAACCAAACATGAAAGACATAAGTAAACCAGAGTGCTAGTTCATTTAGTAGGCCTGAATATGTTGGATGCCTTTTTCTTTATTTAAAACTAAAATAGTGGTGAGATCATTGAGTAAGCATGAAAATGGGCAAATGGGTTTTAGGAATCTTTTACATAAGCTTTGAAAAAGCAGTATACTATGTGTGTACATACACATCTGAAATCCAGCATTGTATATCTCACTGGTAATTAGAATGTTTGTGTCTCCCAGATCCTGTGGTATCTTTCAGACAGTGTTGGATGACTATTCATTTTTTACTTATTGGATGCCTTTTTGGGCCTCATGTAAATCATCACCTTAGTGAATACTGTTTTTTTTTTTAAACATGGTGTGCAATACCATTAAGTAGGTTTTAGTTTCAGCCATCTTACTATGATTTGTTAGGTATTAGTTTTAGGCCATGCCTGAAAGTTCAGTCAGTCACCTTGATTGAACTTATCCTTCTGAATCTCCTCAGCCATCTAGTTTACTGATACTTTCTCACTTCTACAAGTGATTAATTTTATACATACTGACATTTAAATTTTTTTGATTATAGCCTTAGATAATACTTAGACTTTGAGGATGTCTTATGCCTTAGGTAGTGACTACTACTTTGAGACTATTTGTTAAACTTATGTAAGTCCTCACATCACTGCGCTAGTAGTACATAAAATATTATCTAATCTTGTACTTCCTATTTTGTTTCAAGAGTTGGGATCTTGCTCTGTCACCCAGGCCGCAGTATAGTGCTGTGATCATAGGTTGCTGCAGCCTTGAACTCCTAGATTCAAGTGTTCCTCAAGCAGTCCTCCCAAATAGCTAGAACTATAGGCATGTGCCACCATGCCCAGCTAATTTAAAAAAACAAAAACAAATTTTTGTGGAGATGGGGTCTCTCTATGTTGAGACAGGCTAATCTTGAACTGGGCTCAAGGAATCCAGTTCAAGATTAGCCTCGCAAACCAGGCCAAGGCTGTGCTCAGCCTTCTTTTTCTATTGTATAAAATATGTACTAAAGGAGAAATCAAATATGTTTTTAGTTGCAATGAGAAAAAATATGGAAAGGCATACTTCCTTATGTATAGTAGATATGTGTAAAGATACTTCCATTTGTTTGTATGGCATTAACTAAAACCAGGAAATGACCAAAATGGGGACTGGTTAAATAAATCAGGATAAATGCATGCAATGCAATTTTATGCAGAATGAGATCTGAATATTCTGATATGGGAAGATCTCCAGGATAGGATAAGAAAAAGAGCAAAGTGCAAAAGAGCCTGTAGAGAAGATTCATTTTGATACTAGAGAATTAGGTCCTACTAAAGCCTTTCGACTTACCTGCTATAAACCCTGAACAAGCATGAAAAATAACTACTACCTAAAGACAATGAGGAGCAGCCAAAAGCAGGCCAAAGTTGAAGGTGAGTCAACACTTAGAAGAAAGGAAGTGTTTTCTGTTTTACACTTAGTACATGCTAAAGACAGCTTCAAGCCGGGCACCTAAGGTTCTAGTGGAAAACTTACAGTCTTACTGGCTTTAGAATTGGAGGCAAGAGTTCTAGACACCATAGTAGATGGAAACCGGTGGTGGTTGTGGTGAGCATTAGAGAAAGGAGACAAAGGGAGAACTCCTAAGTCTGTATGTAGATGCTGCTCAAATCTCTGGCTTATCCCTGAGCTACTGATACGCAGGATGAACTCCAAGTAGCCCAATAGGGAAAAAGACTGAACAGATTTCAGTTACTTACTGTCTAGGGAGACAGAACTTGTAAATTCAGATGTTGACTACCTTCTAAAACAAAAAATCTGTTTTCGTAAGAGGAACATACGGGAATCCAGAGTCTTTGCCACAGGTCCAGGATACAATGCAAAATTGCTAATCATACAAATAAATGGGAAAATATGACCCATACAGAAGAGAAAAGTAACCAGTGGAGACTGACACAGAGATGATCCAGGTGTTGGGACTACCAGACATGGATTTTAAGGCCTTAGAACTTCTTAAGCACATTAGGGAAATAATGCTTGTAAGAAATGAACAAAGTAAAATCTCAGAGAATTTAGAAACTTTCACAAAGAACCATAGTCAAGTGTCCTTTAATGACAAGAATACATTCTGAGATAATGTATCATTAGCCAATTTTGTTGTGTAAGCTTCACAGAGCATACTTAACACAAACCTAGATGTATAGCCTACTACCACCTAGGCTATATGGTATAGCCCATTACTCCTAACCTACAAACCTGGACAGCCTGTTACTGTATTGAATACTGTTGACAGTTGACACAATGGTATTTGTGTACCTAAACAGAAAGGGCATGGTAAAAATAGAGTAGAAAAGATAAAAAATGGTGTACCTATATAGGGCACGTACCATGAATGGAGCTTGCAGGACTGGAAGTTGTTCTGGCTTAGTGAGTGGTGAGTAGATGTGAAGGCCTAGGACATGACACTATTGTAGACTTTAGAAGCACTGTACACTTGGCTGGGCGCAGTGACTCATGCCTGTAATCCCAGCACTTTGGGAGGCCAAGGCCGGCAGATCATGAGGTTAGGAGTTTGAGACCAACCGGACCAACATAGTGAAGCCTCGTCTCTACTGAAAACACAAAAATTAGCTGGGCATGGTGGCACCTCACCTGTAATGTCAGCTATTCAGGAGACTGAGGCAGGAGAATCATACAAACCTGGGAGGCAGAGGTTGCACTGAGCCATGATTGCACCACTGCACTCCAGCCTAGTCATAAAAACTAAATGCGCTACATCACTAAGCAATAGGAATTTTGCAACTCCATTATAGTTGTATGGAACCACCATTGTATATGGAGTTCGGTGTTGACTAAAATATCATTATGCAGTGCAATGAAGCACTTAAATACAAATTCTAAGTCCGGGTACAGTGGCTTATGCTTATAATCCAGCACTTTGGGAGGCCGAGGCAGGCAGAATTACTTGCACCTGGGAGGTGGGAGGCCAGAGGTTCCAGTGAGCCAAGATGGCACCTCTATATTTCAGCTTGGGCAACAGAGTAAGACTCTGTCTCAAATATATATATATGTATGTATGTATGTATGTATAAATTCTAGAAATGAAAGAGGAGAGAGAACAGAAAATAGATTTGATTAAATAATGGCTAAAAGTTTCCCTTATTTGTTGGGGGAAAAAAAAACAGATTTACAAATTGAAGATGCTCCACAGCTCTTAAGCAGGATAAATGCTATTAAGATCATACTCAGGCACGTCAAATTGTTAATACTAAAAAAAAAAGGTAAAGAAAAATATTGAAAGTAGCCCAAGGTAAAAGACATATTGCCTACAGAAGAACAGTGATACAAATTACTATGGTGTTCATACTGGAAATAATGGAGGCCAGAGCATTGAATGATATCTTCAAAGCACTCAAACCAGAATTGTGTATCTAAAGGTAATATTCAACAATAAAGGTCAAAATTAAGACTTTCTAGGTAAATAGAAACTAAAGACATGGCCCGGCTTGGTGACTCACACCTGTAATCCCAACACTTTGGGAGGCTGAGGTGGACACGTTGCCTGAACTCACAAATTCAAAACCAGCTGGGGCAACATGGCAAAACCTCGTCTCTAACAAAAAATACAAAAATTAGCTGGGTGTGGTGGTGCTCACGGTGATCCTAGCTACTCAGGAAGCTGAAGTAGGAGAAAGGCTTGAGCCCAGGAGGCGGAGGCTGTAGTGAACTGAGATCGCACCACTGATCTCTAGCCTGAGCAATAGAACCAGACCTTGTCTCCAAAACAAAAAAAGGCGGTGGGGGTGATGAAATTAGGCAGTTCTTTAGGCTGATGAGATGTGATGACCTGGAAATGGAAAATACACAGGTAAATATAAAAGACATTTTTGCCCTTCTTAGTTTCTTAACTCTCATTTGAGCCTGTGGCATTGTAAGGTACAGTATTATAATCTGAAAAATACAGTGTTATACAGTATTGTAATCTTACAGCACTATTGCTATATATGCAGTCCATTGTTGACTGAAATGTTACGTACGCAGTTCATGACTAATTTTATGAGGCTATCATAACCCTGATAAGAAAACCCAACAAAGACATGTTTTTTTAAAACAAATTACTGACTCAATTTGTGATTAGCATAGATAAAACAATTCAAAATAAAATGTTTTTCAAATCGAACAATGTATAAAAAGGATAATAAAGCATAACCAAGTGGAGTGTATGGAATGCCAGTTTGGTTTAACCGTTACAACTTTAGGTTGGCTGGGCATGGTGGCTCATGCCTGTAATCTCAGCACTTTGGGAGGCCAAGGTGGGAGGATCACTTGAGCCCAGGAGTTTGAGACCAGCCTGGGCAACATAGCAGGACCCCCACCTCTTTTTATATAAAAAAAGTTTTTTTATTAATATGTGCTTTTATATGATCAGTTATTTAACAAAAGTACAAAGACAGCTGATCAAAGAAAAAATTATGTTTTTAACAAATAGTGCTGAGACAACTGGATATCCATATATAAAAAAGGACCTCAATTCAGACACCACCTTATACAAAAGTTAAAATGAATCAGAGATGTAAAAGTCAAATCTAAACTTCAAAATACCTCTAAAAGAAAACATAGGAGCAAATATTTGATCTTGGATTAGGTAAAGATTTCTTAGGTAACAGGTTTTTTTTGTTTTTTTTTTTTTTTTTGAGACGGAGTTTCGCTCTTATTACCCAGGCTGGAGTGCAATAGCGCAATCTCGGCTCACTGCAACCTCCGCCTTCTGGGTTTAGGCAATTCTCCTGCCTCAGCCTCCTGAGTAGCTGGGATTACAGGCATGCGCCACCATGCCCAGCTAATTTTTTGTATTTTTAGTAGAGACGGGTTTCAGCATGTTGACCAGGATGGTCTCGATCTCTTGACTTCGTGATCCACCCACCTCGGCCTCCCAAAGTGCTGGGATTACAGGCTTGAGCCACCGTGCCCGGCCAGGTAACAGTTCTAACTGCTCCACATTGCTCATGGGAATGCAAAGTGCCACATTCATTTTGGGAAACAGTTTGGCAGTTAAAATGAACGTATACTTAATATATAACCCAGCTGTGCCATATTTAGGAAAATGTATGTTCATAAAAAAGCTTGTACCCAGTTTAGTGGCGTTGGGGTGATGGAACTGATTTTGGTGATGTTTAAATGACTGTATTCTTTTTTTTTAAACGCAAAGAACTTAACACTGAAAGTGGTGAATTATTTTAATGAAAAAGAATGCTCAGAATCTGAAATAAACTCAGTGCATGTGAACAGAGTATAGGAGGAAAACTGTAACCATTTTAATAGATGTGAAACAGCATTTGACAAAATTTGTCACCCGTTCATAATAAAACATCCCCAAATAAGAACTAGAACAGAATTTTCTAATCTGATAAAGAGTGTCTAGAAAAAAGCCACAGACATGCTGTCTTCCATTTTTGAGAACAAGACATTCACTCTCATCACTGCTACTCAGCATTGTACTAGAAGTCATTGCCAGGCACAGGTTAGTGGGTTTCAGCCATTTTTGGCTATTTGACAATGACAAGTTAGTTAACCTCTCTTGGGTTTTAATTTCTTCAGGTTAAAACAAAAAACGAGTAGAGGGCTGTGAGAAAGAGGATGATAATCTACTATGCAGGATTGTTGTGAGGGTTCAGTGAGATGTTTAAGCACCTAACATAGTTACTTGGATATGGTAGTCATGCAGTGGATGAGATCGTTTTCATTTGTTCTCTCTGTGTGTGTTTCTTCTGTGAGGATAGCCTCTTTCCTTAAAATGAACATCTTAGTGAATTCCTATTCTGCAGAAGGAAAAGGAAGAAATGGAAAAGATAGGTGTTTGACTAGCTTTCATTTGGATAGTTGAAAATTATTCGTTCTCGCCAATAAGGTAATGGAGAATATATAATTACCTGATAATAAAAATTTATTTCTGAAAACAATTCAAAGTTTCTCATCATGTACAGATTGAGAATACTTTATCCCCTAATCCAGAATGGTCCAAAATCTGAAACTTCTTGAGCATCAACATGATGCTCAAAGGAAATGCTCATTGGAGCATTTCAGATTTTGGATTTTCAGATTAGGGATGCTCTAACTAGTAAATACAATGCAAATATTCCAAAATCTGAAATCCAAAACACTTTTGGTCCCAATCATTTCTGATGGGGAATACTCAGCCTGTACTACTTATGCAGTATTTTGTTGATAAGATTTTAGTAGGGAATAATTGTAAGTATGCCAGTTGCACACTTAATTTGGTCTTAAAAACTGATTACAGTAGTATGTTGGCACCTAGACAGAGATAATTTTTTCAAAATTTTTGTACAGGATATATAGATTTGTCAAAAAGAAGAGTTTCTCCAGAGGAAGCAATCAAATGTGAAGACAAATTCACAAAATCCAAAACTGTAAGTTGTTCTTTGAGTCAAATTAGTCCACTATCTATGTGTTTAATAAATAATTTGAAATTTTCATTTCAAAAGAGTATGACTACGATAGGTTTTTTTTAATCTCATAGTGCTACTACCTTAAAGTATTGCTTATGATCTAATATTCTCAAATCAGTGCTGGAAGTGTTTTGAAGCCATCTTAGGTTAAATCAACTGTGGGTGACTTCAGCTGGTTTGACTTGCTTCCAATTGGACTGCCTCATAAAATATAGTGGGGTTTTTTGTTTGTTTAAATAGAAATGAAGTCTTGCTGTTTTGTCCAGGTTGGTCTCAAACCCTGGGCCTCAAGTGATCCTCGAGCCTCAGCCCCCCAAAGTGCTGGAATTACAGAAGTGAGCCAGTGCACTTAGCCAAAATACAGTTCTTGATTCTCAACCCTGTTCTGGGTTAAGGATAACAGAGATAACCAGCTATTGTGTGTTAAGAATGAAAAAGGGTTTGTGAAATGTCCGTGAATCCAGGAAAGCAAGGCAGACAGGCCTGTTACTAGTTTTTTTTGTTTTTCTATTTTTTTTTCCTCCACTAGCATGTTAGGATTATTTCTTCTCACTTTTTTTCTTATTTTTGCTGTTACTTCCTACTTTTGTCATCCACAGTAAGCACTGGTAAAGCAAAGATAGTCATTTCATTTCTTCACATTTCTTCTGTCAGTATTTCTCTTTTCTCAGGTCCTATTTAAGTTATCCTTCATTCTCTACATCCTCACAGGTGTGTATGTGTGTCTCTCTCTCAGAGTCTTGTCCAGTCTTGCCCAGGCCTATTTAAGTTATCCTTCATTCTCTACATCCTCGGCATTGGGGTGGAAGGGGTGGGGTTGGGTCAAAGTCTTGCCCAGGCTGGAGTGCAGTGGCACAATCTCAGCTTACTTGGAACCACCTCCACCTGGGCTCAAGCGATCCATCTGCCTCGGCCTCCCAGAGTATTTGAGATTACAGGCGTAAGCCAGTGTGCCCAGCCCGTCCTCAGTTCTTAATGGTACCGTTTCTATTGCTTATATTTTCTTTGCCCTTCTCTGGTGTCTGTTCTTTTCTGCCATGAATGTTTCTGTCCTCAAGACAAAATATTGAAAAAGTTTCAATGAAGTGATTTAAAAAATCTTGCTTAATCCCAGTAAAAGAGAAAGTAATGGTCTAAAAGCCATTAGTTACCCAAATCTTTTTTTTTTTTTTTTTTTTGTTTACTAGTGTATTTACAGTTAAGCAGTATGGTTTACACATTTGAAAACACTGTTTGTAAAATCTTTTTTTAATAAAAATCTCTTTTTAATAAACTCTAGGACCTTATCACTCAGAATGTAGTCTCTCAAGCGCATTGGCATCACTTGATTCTTTTTCAGAAATACCAACTCTCCGGTCCCACTAACTTTTGAGAAGTAGTTTTCTGGGAAAATTCCATATTTTTTGTCTCCTTAGTATATTGTTAAAATAAGTATGTTAATAGATCTTACTGAGATGTTAAAATGGAAGAGTTATTCAATGTCAGTACCTTTTCTCAATTTTTTAAAAAATTTTTTGTTAAAATTTCAAAACATTAAGCAGACTCACTCTATGATGATGACTTTTTAATACTTTTCCTCTACACCCTATGTTAATTTTAGGAGATAAGAAAACTTTCAATCCTGATTCTGCCCTCATGGAGTAATAATAGCAACTTACATTCATTTAATCGTTTTCCATTTATACTGTGTGGTTTCATTTGATCTGTACAAGTACTCTCTGTAGTAAGGAAGAGAGATACTAATATTTTCTTTTTCCAGGGGAGGAACAAATTCAGAGATACTGTTATTGTCAAGACTTGTTCTAGGTCTTAGGACCTAAATTGTATACTGTCTCTACTTTTATACCCACTTGAGTTTATTATGGGAAAGTGAGTATTTCCCTATGGAGAAAGAACTTAAATGGAGATTTTTTATTGTTACAGAATTATTGTAGTCAAATTTTGTTGTCTACTAAAATGTAAAAATATTTTTTATAGATCTCTTCAAATTGTTGAGCTTTTCGTTTTATTTCTAGGTTTATAGCATTCTTCGTCATGTTGCTGAGGTGTTAGAATACACCAAGGATGAGCAGCTGGAAAGCCTATTCCAGAGGACTGCCTGGGTCTTTGATGACAAGTACAAGAGACCTGGATATGGTGCCTATGATGCATTTAAGCATGCAGTCTCGTAAGAATACCTTCTTGACTCCTTTTCTACCTTAATATTACAATTCTTAGCCTGATAATTAACAGCACAGCATCCATGTATAAAATCCTTGCTAAATTTAGATTAAAATATTCATATCATAGTTATGTAGATTCACAAAAACCATATGGTTTATCTCACACTACTCCCTTACATGGTTTCCATTCCTAGTTATTGTCCCAAGTGGCTGTAGGGCTAAAGATACAGAGCATATCTCATCGAAAATTATAACCTCTTGTTTTCTCTACCTCTTTTGACTCTCCTTTGACTTTCAGCCCACACCACTTTAGCCAGTCTTCCATGTAGCCTTACCCTGGCCCTTACTATTACCAGGATTTGCTCTGCAACTAAAATCTTTAATTCACACTTTCTCTTCTTTTGCCCCAGCCTCCTACCCATCTAGCTCCCAGTTGGTCCTACTCTTTGTCATCTTAATTGTGTGTATTAGGCTCTAATTCCAAACCTTTTTTCTCCCTGTCTTTTCACCATTTCCTGTCTTCTCTTTCTTATCCAACATAGGCACACCATGATCCATCATTTCAATGACTTTCTTGCCATTATCATGAGCTTTTGCCCTGTTTTTCCTTCTGATACATCCAGCCTTGGATTGATGTTCCTGCCTTTTTGTACTTGTAGACTGCTGGATACTGCTAGGAAAAATCACAGTCTTGCAGGTTGGTCCATTACATATTCATGGTCTCCAGCCTCAGCTGTTTCACATTCTCTCTGCTCCTGATCAGTTCTTCTTCCCATTTTTATAGTGGCTGTTTTAGAGCTTTTCCATGTTCTTCCTCAGAAAACCACTTTACCCCTGTTCCCTGCCTCTTAACTGGTATGCTCACTACCTGTTCTATTTTAAAGAAAATAAAACCCATCGCAAAAGAACCACTTTTCCACTATCTCAGCAAACTTACATATCTCCGTCCCGCCTGTCACTTCTTGTGCTGCTGTCACTGGAATTTGTGTCCTTCTTACTCAAACTAATCTTGCCATCTGTACCCAGCTGCTGCTCAGGGATCTCTATCAGTTATTCCTTCTCTTGGGTCACCTTTCTCTTTATTGGTATTGCTCCATCAGCATAAATACCAATATTTATGGTTTCTTCCATTTATACTAAAAAACACACTTCTCAGCTTTTCCTGTACTTTGTCTTGGAGCAAACACTGTGTTCTCTGCTTTTAACAGCCACATTGGCTGTACATGGTGGCTCATGCCTGTAATCCCAGCACTATAGGAGGCTGAGGTGGAGGAGTGCTTGAGGCTGGGAGTTCGAGACAAGCCTGGGCAGCATAGCAAGACCCCATCTCTTCAAAAAAAAATTAAAAGTAGCCAGGTATGGTAGCATGTGCATGTAGTCCCAGGAATTTGTATTTGTTTGAGGCTGAGGGAGGAGGATCACTTGAGTCCAGTGATTTGAGGTTTCAGTGAGCTGTGATTTATGATTATACCACTGCATTCTAGCATGGATGACAGAGTGAGACCTTGTCTCTTAAAAAAAAAAAAAAAAAAGCCAGACTCTCAGTTCTCTGTACTTTGTGTCTCTTTACCTCCCACTCCTTCCTAAATGTTAAGAGGTAGAGGGGGAATAAGAAGAGAATTAGTAGGACCCAGGACTGTTAAGTGTCCCCAGCAAACCAACTCATCTGGGGTTCTAAATCCCTTCAAGTTTATTCTCATGTGACTCATATATATATGAATCTCACGTGGCAGAAAAGGTGGGTATAGTAATGATAATAGCTAACATTTGTATAGTTCTAACAATAGTATAAATGCTGTTATCCTTTTTTTTTTAACAGTTGAAGAAATTGAAGCTGAGATTAAATAATTTCTACAAGGTCACACAGCTAACAAATAAGAGAGCCAGGCAGTATTCAAACCCATGCATTCTGGCTCCATCCAGATTTTATACTAAGCCATTAAGCACCACTTTATATTTCTGTCCTGCAGTCCTCAGTACATTTCTTAACTTGTCTTAACTATCATCATCTGGCCCAAGTTACCTCTTTAACTTCTAGCTCCAGCATCCCCTCTGTCTTCTTGCCTTGGCATGTGTTATTCCCTTTCCCTTAGCACTCTTTTCTTGCTTCATTCATGTAGGGACTGTCCAGATTTAACTAATGCTAGTTCTTTATATGTTTTAAAATTCCATACAATTTCTGACGTAGTTGGAAACAGTGTTTTACCTTTTCACACCCGTTTCCCTCACTTATCAGTGATAACCAGTATTCTGAAATTATTTTTATGTCAATATCATTTGTTTTTATTGTTTTACTACACATGTGTCTATAATCATTTTTTATTTAAAATGTAACCTATTGTATCTTTTTGTTGCTTGCATTTTTACATATAAGGCTGTTATTAAGCAGGATTCTTCCACATTGATAGATGTACACCTGATCCATATTAATCTCTATAGTATTTCATTGTGAGAATATGCTTTATCTGTTCCTCTATTAAGAGTTGTTTAGGTAATTTTTCCCTTTTGTCCCATTTGTCAAACAGTGCTATGATGAATACTGTATATGTCTCTATATGTACTTGTTTGAGAGTTTCTAATGTATATACCTAGGAGTGAAGTCGTTAGGTCATAGGATTGACATAGGATTGATTATATATCTTTAAACTCACTTGGTTTCACCAAATTATTCTTCAAATTGATTCTACAGTTTATATTCCCTCTAGCAATTGTATAAGTATTCCTGTTTCCCCTCATCCTTGCCACAATTTGGAATACATATGATTTTTTTTTCTTCTTTTTCTAGTCTAACGAATGCCCAATAGTATCTTTTGATTTGCATATTCCTGATTATTGGAAGGGTCAACAGTTTTTCATGTTTATTGACCATTTGTATTTCTTCTGTGAAACATCTGTTCACCTCATTTGCCCATTTTCTGTTTGTTTGTCATCTTGTTTCTTGGGCATTTGTGTTGGTTTGTCTTCTTGTTCCTTTATATTAGCTGAGTAAAAGTTCCCTCCACCCAAATTCTCTTGCCTTTTGTTCCTTAACTAGACCCCTTGCTTATTAAGCCTGATGCTTGCTCATACTATTCCTATTCCTTTTTCATATGGCATAACTTTCTTTTTTTCTTTGTAATAGAGACAAAGGTCTTGTTCTGTTGCCCAGGCTGGTCTACAGACCCCTGGTCTCAAGCAATCCTCCTGCCTCAGCCTCCTGAAGTGCTGGGATTACAGGCATGAGCCACTGGTGGCCAGCCCTTTGTATCTTAACTTACTTAAAATAGTTCTGCCTTTGCTTTTTACAATGCTACTCCTCTTTTAGTCTTTATTTCATATTTTTGTTTGTTCACTCATTCAACAGGCATGCCAGTTAATAAGACCCTGGTCCATGTCCTGTGGCACTTAGATGAAATACTACTTTTTGCATGAAGCCCTTCCTGACCTCATTAGAAAGTAATACCTTTCTCTCCTGAGGCCCACAGTATATATACTGTTAACATTTACAAATTTTTCCCTGTTTTTGTTCTTTTCAAGCTAGATTATAAACTCCTTGAGGCAGAGACACCTAATTGCATGGAAGTAATCAATTATATTAGAATATCAGATGTGTTAGGAGATACTAAATTGCTTGTTTTAGTTGGATCACTAAAATTTTGATTTCACTAATAATTAGTTGGGTGTAAGTGCACAGCTAAGATTTGAACTCTAATTGTGACATTAAAGCCTGTGCTTTCTTTACTATTATATGCATTATTCCAGGGTGCTTACTTTCACATTTATCAGTAATATAATCTTGACTTTTTGTTATTTATTTTTTTTTTACCAGAGACCCGTCTATTTTGGATAGTTTAGATTTGAATGAAGATGAACGGGAAGTACTCATTAATAATATTAATAGACGCTTGACCCCACAGGCTGTCAAAATTCGAGCGGGTAAATGATTTTTTAAATGTTTTTACAGTATTTTATATGCATCAAAAAAGCTATTAAATAATAAGACTTACCAAAGAATATGTTGCTACATCAACGTCTATAAATTTTTCTAAATGTTTATTTTTTATAACAAAAGCTTAAGAAATTATTTTGGCTTCTGAATCATAAGATTTCTGTATTAACACAAGTAGAAACAGTTGTGTGAGTTCAACTAACCTAAAGTTAGCCCTTTTTTAAAAAAAAGGGGGTTTGATTGTTTGGTGTTAGTGCATAATTTAAAATATTCCAAATTTTTACAAATACTATACAAGATTTTCTCCATCTAGCCTTTTCTACCCAGTGTATTATAGGTACCGTTCCATGCAGAACATAGGAATCTTTTCATCCTTTTTCATTCTGAGTAATGTTTCATAGAACAGATAAACCTTAACATAAACCAGTCCCCTCTTGATGAACATCTAGATTGTGCCAGTTCTCACAGATACAAAAAAAAGCTACAAATTAACACCCTTATATTATACATATTTACCCATTTACACAAATGTTCTTCAAGACAAATTCCTAAAAGCAGAATTTCTGAGTCAAAGGATAATGCAGTTTCTAAACTGTTTTAGATAAGTTGTAGTTATTGTTATATTCCATCTTTACCACACTCCTCCTTACCTCCAGTTTATAAATAAGGAACTGCAGTGTAGAGGTTGGATTCAGGTTAAGTCTCTGAATACTAGTATATCTGCCATGTTTGATTTTCTTTAAACTTTTAAATATTTTTTGCATTTTTTGGTGTCAACTTCTGAATTTTGTAATTACAGATATTGAAGTGGCTTGTTATGGTTATGAAGGCATTGATGCTGTAAAAGAAGCCCTAAGAGCAGGTTTGAATTGTTCTACAGAAACCATGCCCATTAAGGTGAGTTGTCAGTTGTCTCCTTCCCTGCTGATTTACCCATCTAAACCAAATAAGATCTTTGATCTTTGTTTTGATTTTTTTTTAAAATCATACTTTGCAACAAAAGTGGCTTTTTTACTCTTAAAGTTAATCAGTGAGTCTTAGTAATATTTCTAGATGTTTGTGATTTTCTTTAGGCCTTTTTGGTTTCTACTGTTACTATCACAGTGAATGGAGATTCCTATTGTTAGAAAGCCATCTGCGCTAAACCTCATTTACGATAAAGAGTTGCTGTGCCTAAAATACTGATAGCACTTTAAAAAGAGTAACACTTTCTCCCATCTATACCTATGCAAATTTTATGAGGTTTGATCAGAATCTTTCATTAGTGATAAAATTAACTGAACGGCAATAACTCAGAATCTTGTAGAAAGATTCTTCAATCAGTTTAGTTTAGAGACAAATTATCCATTATACTCATGATAATTGCAGTTAATTTAGCTACCAAAGATACCCAGAAATTATAATTGTTCTTATTCAGTGTTACAGTGGACTGTTTATACTACTGCATTAGATTCCTGTATCGATTCACTTTTCTACATTAACAAATCACCCCAAAACATAATCGCCAATTCTGTAGGACCCTAAATTACTGTCCTATAGAATTGGCACATTTTGGGGTGATTTGTTAATATAGCAGAGTAATAAAATCTCAAGCATCCTAATAGTTGTGGGTTCTGTAGGTACATTCATAATTGAATTTTTGGTTTTCTCTTTTAGATTAATCTAATAGCTCCTCCTCGGTATGTAATGACTACGACAACCCTGGAGAGAACAGAAGGCCTTTCTGTCCTCAGTCAGGCAATGGCTGTTATCAAAGAAAAGATTGAGGAAAAGAGGGGTGTGTTCAATGTTCAAATGGAGGTGAGATCAATAGATTCGTTTTTAATAATGTCTCAGGAGGTTTCTAAAAGGGGTTTTTATAGATAAATAAGAGCTGTCGGCCTTGGAATATCATATTGTAGGATGGTTATTCAAGCCTTTGACCATTAATGGTGTTACGGGTCACCCTCACCACATCACCTACCCCCTGGCCAGGGGGAAGAGAATAAACAATATAAATGAGAAGTTTTTTTATTGTTAGAATTTGGATGTGGCATGTCTAAAATTTGATCTTAGAATTAGAAAAAAAAGTCTCCTGTCTTTTCCTTTTCTCAACAAGAAAAAAAATGTGTGTGTGTGTGTGTGTGTGTGTGTGAGAGAGAGAGAGAGAGAGAGAGAGAGAGAGAGAGAGAGAGAGAGAGAAAGAGAGAGAGAAAGAGAGAGAGAGAGGGGGGTTCCTTCAGTGGAAAGGACTAATAAGCTAGTAAGTGGTAGTTTGAGCCTGGAAGAGTCCATCTTTTTGTGGACTTGAAAGATACAGCCACTGGGCTTATTTCATGTTTTCAGTTTTAGCTTATAAAGATGACAAAAACAAATTTCCATTTTAATACATACATCTTTTTCTATACTGTTGTTCTCATAAATTTCACCTGTTTATCTAATGGAATTTGTTAGTGACAAGTCAGCACTCAAAAGTGAACAGATATGAGAGAGTTGTTAGAAAAGTGTTAAAAGAAAAAAAACGTGAGGTAGTAATAGTATTGAAATTAAATTTGTATAGTGTTTACTACTTCAGTTTTAAATTATACCTCTGCTTCCACAGCCCAAAGTGGTCACAGATACAGATGAGACTGAACTCGCAAGGCAGATGGAGAGGCTTGAAAGAGAAAATGCAGAAGTGGATGGAGATGATGATGCAGAAGAAATGGAAGCCAAAGCTGAAGATTAACTTTGTGGGGAACAAAGTCCAATATAAGGAACACAGAGCAGCCCTTCCTGGCTGAAATCTTAGACTTGAAAGTTTTCCAGTATTGAAAACTTCAAAGCTGAATATTTTTTATTTCCAAGTATTTAAATGTTCTAACAGATCAGAACATGAAATGCCCTCCTAAATGTCAGCTGTTTTCACAGTAGCTCTAACACTTTGAGCATTTTTAAGGGAGTGGCCTCATTTCACTAGAGACAAATCTTTAAGAATAGTTCTAAAATTGGGCTTGTGATTTCCATTTCTGATGTCTCCACATTGGCACCCCTTTCTAATTCAATGCCTCATAACATTTACCAGGGGCATCCAAAGCAAACAATCCCAATCTTTCTACATAAAATGTATTCATGCAAACATCAAATAAATTTCTGGGATATTTAACTATAGGCTTCTTCCTTCTTGTCACCAGTTAAAAGCATTCTAAGTACTAAGACCCTAATTCTATTATCTTCATTTTAGCATTGATGTGGAACTATAAGAGCAGGTGAATAAAGGATCTCTATAACAGATCCTTTGAAAAGAAGAGTTTAGGGAAAATAAATTTAACTTTAACCACAGTGAAAGTTGGCCCTTAATTGCAGGGCCAAAGCCTTAAAATGCAATGAAAGAATTAGATTGGTTCTGTGCCTTTTATCTATTTGAGATTGATGACAACTTGCATGAGGGAATTTATCACACCACATCCTTATTGGTATAATAAGCTACTTGCCTTGAGTTTATAATTCAGGGTGGTAAATATGTTTTTAAAATGTAAAAAGCAGCTGCATTTTTTATTTAGTTGGAGTATCATCCAGTTTTTTATTTTTGTTCCTCCTAAAATATCCACTAGGTACCACTTAGAGCTCTTGTTCTTTAAAACAAAACAGGGATCTACTTGAACACTTACGGTGCTTTTTTTTTTTCCCCACATTTACTTCTGTCTTCAAGAACTAATTTGTACATAATAAGTTTTATAGGTAACACATTATTTAGTCAGGTGTAGGAAATCTTGAGTTGCTTCAGTCTACTTGTCTTCATAAATTTATTCTCTTAAGATACTTGAGGTACCGGTTGTATTTGATTTTATTCATTATCCCCAGATAACTATTAAAATACTTAGATTAGACCTAACCCACCATAGTCAGTCCAAGATTAGACTTTACTCAATGTTAAAGGGCCTGGAAAATAGAAGAATGTGTTGGGCAGATAGTTTGTATCATTTATGAAGGTTTGTTCCTTTTGTTAAATATAGCAGTCTGTACTAGCTTTTGAAATCCAAAAGTTTAACTTCCAAAGGCTGTTTCTAAGAGCCCTGATTGCCAGCCAGCATTTTGCATTAAGACTATGTAGAGGAAAACTGATGTACTTAAGATTGACACATAATTTTCACTTATGTCTGTCAAAGCATCAAAAAACCAAGTTTATAAAGGTGGCAACATGAAGAATGCATTCAAAATATAACAGGTGCTCCTTTGTTGTACACAGAGGAATTTTTTTCTTTTGATTTTGTTTACTGAAATTTGTTATACTTCAAAAGCCATAACTTGAAAAATACTGGTGGCTTCCATGGTAAGTGATTTTTATTCTATGTGGGCCTTTTGCTTGGTTCCATGACAATTTTATAAATTGACCCTAGCTAGAGAAAGATCAATATTTCACTGATACCATGAGAAAAAGAACAAAGCATGCATATACCTTGCTAACCTAAAAGACAGCAGGGACAAGATACATATGAGGACGAGTTGTACACCCAGCTCCAAATAAGTTGAAGAATAGGCTTGGCAAAGAAGTGAACAGTTCATCCAAATCTTGAATTTCTGCCAGGTATGGTGGCTCATGCCTGCAATCCTGGCACTTAGGGAGCCAAGGCCGGAGGATCACTTGAGGCCAAGAGGTTTAGACTGCAGTGAGCTGTGATCACTCCAGTGCACTCCCGCATGGGTGAAAAGGCAAGACCCTGTCTCAAAAAAAAACCAACCAAAAATCTTGAATCTCCCATCAAAGTCCATTTAAAATACAATTTCATCTATTTCCCACTCTGCCTTTCATTGAGGTCAAGTGGCTATCAACTCATAGCTGAAAATTAGTGATAGTTTGGGTCTCGTTTATGCATAAGTTAATTGAAAATCGATGGCCAGGAGGAAATTGAACATTGAAACCACTTATCTTCCTTTTTTTTTCCTGGCAAATGGTGTTACGGTGCCTGGGCAGGTCTCAAAATCCTGGGCTCAAGCTATCCTCCCACCTCTGCCTTCATGAGGGTGTGATCCAGCATGCCCCGCCCAAATCATTTTTCATATTAGTTTTATAGCAAAACAAGACAAACCAGTTCTGAAGTGCATAATATTCAAAGACGGACCCATAGAGACATGCTAAGCACTGCATCACGCTAAGCAGAACATTTCTCAGCTGCCATACTCCAGCCATTCTACTTTTACACCAAGAACAAAATGGCTAGAGAGTTTTTTAAAATGTAGGTGCCAGTACCTTGCTGAGACTTGTTCATTGATTTGCCCCAAGGTAATGGTCATCTACTTTCCAAGCCATGGAGATCCTGATAGCTCCCAAAGTGAGGTATACTTGTGCCAATTTTGATGCAGGAAGCCATCAAGCCAAATGTAGTTTAATTCAGATAAACACCTGTCAATATTCAAAAGGCAAAGCAAACTAATTCCAGGGACATTAGACCTTGGTGAAATGCCAAATGGAAAATGGTACTTTAAAAGGTAGTCAGTCTCTTACCATATAAGGAATAAGTAAAACATTAGCTTGAGATTTCTCATTCAGGTCAGTGTTTTAGATACAATTAAGAGTTCAAACTAAGAGGACAAATTTTTACCTAAGCACTTTGAAGTAATCCACTCCCCTTAAATGTAAGTTATGTATTTATCTGTTGATTAAGGGGAGTTCCAAGCATTTGTACTTGGCAAGAATGCTGGCAATAACTTGTGCCAGATACTGTACAAACTTGAAAATAATAAAAATGTTCTTTAAAAGTATTGTATGATACAGACTTTTCACTATAGATTAACCTCCCCACTGGTAAAATTTCTTGGTGCCATTTGTCTCAGCTAATGTTCATTTTAAAACCAAAATTCAATGCCTTGATTTAAGTCTTCCCCATTTACATCTTTCTCTGTCCTTTAGCACACTCTTACTCTCCATCTCTAAATGCCCATTTTTCATGGAAAAACTATGTATTTATTTTTTGTATATGTGATTAAGTTCTCTGACAGAGTCCATGACTTCTGTAATGTATATTTATGCAGACTTGTTTTCCAAAGCAAAACAATATTCTCTGAATGTTCAAAGTTTTGCCACCATCCCCACTTTAAGATGAAGTATGTCTTAGGGACAGAGATGCTTGAAATGTTGCTTGAAAACTATAAAACTTTGCATAGGATTCCAATAACCAGAAACAAAAGTCAGTTTTTACTAATTCCAAAGAAGTTAAGAGAGAACTGCATAAGAAGAGTTTTATTCAGCATTATGGCATGGCCAGGGTAATTGTTCCAACAAAGAGAAACTATTTTAGTGCCCAAGGGAATGGCTGTTTGTGATGCTGGGTAAAACTCAAGATGCTGACACCTAATGGCTGTTCTAGCCTTTCCAGGTTGTAACATGAAGATGGGGAAGGAAATGGCACCACTGCTGTTTATAATCCGAGGAACTCTTCAGCATTCACCCTCCAAAGAAGTACAAAACATACAAAGAAGTCAAGTCTCAACACACTCCCATTCTCCAGGAAATCCTGTCTGTGTCATCTGGTAGGAGGGAAGAATCCTGGTTCCTCGGGTCCTTGTCATGTTAGCTTTTTGATAGCTTCAATCCACTCGACTCGCTCAACCTTGCTGCTGGCCTGAATGTAATAGTGTTTGTCATCCTTAGTAATCACTTTGAAGAGGTTTCCCTGGACATTCCCTTTAACCCCTAGGCAGAATAAAAGAAAAAAAAAATCAGTGATTGAATAGGATGTCTGCTTTCACAATGAACCAGAAGAAAGTCATCTGAGACATGGACAAAACCATACAATGATGTATTTCTTAAATAAAAGGTATACAGTTAGAAAATCCCATCAGACGATATCCCGTTTCCTCCCATTCCCTATCCCTCACCAGTGTCCTAAGGCCTGCCAGTGGTTATGTCTGGATATTCCTGGTAGCCCTTGCCTGCTCCTATGCTCAAAATGGTAGCATGCCATAGATCTACCATGTCATTTACACCAAAGAATCCAGTATGTTTATGTTAACAGCAAGCACAGAATTTGGAATTTGATCTCAAATTGTTTAACTTTTTGGAACCCCAATTCCACAGCCATAAGATGGGAATAATGTCTTCTTACTATGGCTGGCTATTGTGAAATTAGTGTTAAGATAGATATTAAAGTATGTTATTAATCCTAAAGCACTGTGTAAGCCTCAGCTATTATTTTTAGGCAGAAGCTTGTGGTCCATCAGCACAGAAACTGAGGGGAAAGATTATTAACATAAGGATTACTTAACTGTATTCTTAAAAACACCAAGAACATACCCTTTGTTCAATTCTGAAATTCACTTCAAAACTCACACCACTCTGTCTCATTGAGAAAGCCCTGCTTAGCTCCTAAAGCTGTTGTTTCATCAGTAGGGCATTATTGAGGTGCAGGAGGGAGGCCTCTGAGATCTTCAGGCCAGGGATGAAGTTGCACCTTACCAGTGGGAACACCATTATCCTCCAGAGCAGACACAAGTGAACCACGAAGAGAAAACCCACCCACTGGCCTGTTCTCTTCCTGCAGAGGAAAGGAGACCCAGTTAGGAAATCTGTGAGTGCACAAAAGGAAAGAGTTGTACTTCTGCTACAACTCAGGCCAGCTAAAGAACTCAGCACAAATCATTTATAATAAAAGATGAAGCTGAACTTGGACATCACACGGTCAAAGCTGCATGTATCAGTAAGGAAGCTTGGGCCTCTTCATTTCACAGCCCGTAGCGGTAGTTCCCACCAATGTTGCAGTTACCAGTCTTAGAGACTTGCAAATCTGCTTTTCATTCCTGGAGATATCTCAAACAGAGGCTCTGATCCAACATGCTACCCAGAAAAGTATTCACTGGCTTCTTAACCCATGTGTGCATCTTACAAACTAATCAGAAATATATATTTAGTGAAATTTATTATTTTTTAAATTATTTTGAGACAGAGCCTCACTCTGTCACTTAGGCTGGAGTTCAGTGACACAATTTCAGCTTACTACAACCTCTGCCTCCCAGGTTCAAGCGATTCTCTGGCCTCAGCCTTCCGAAGAACTGAAATTACAAGCACATGCCACTACAGCTGGCTTTGTATTTTTAGTAGAGACGGGATTTCACCACGTTGGCCAGGGTGGTCTCAAACTCCTGACCTCAAGGGATCTGCCCTCCTCAGCCTCCCATTGCTGGGATTACAGGCATGAGCCACCACACCCAGCTATAGTAATCATTTCTGCAAAGTTGATAGATTCCTGCACATTGGATATTGTCAAACAGGTCTAGCATGTGCATAGCATGAAACTGTGATACAAAACAGTGATTTGTGGTATCCCTGGACGATTCAGGGCAATTTTACACAGCATGTGCCTCGGGTCCCAGGAACCCTTCAATTAATTAATAATCAACTTCATATTGCATGTTGGGCCCAGCAAGAGGTAGGGCAAAAAATAAAATAGTTAAATAAAAAACTGGAAATATTTTTACTATTACATGCCAACGGGAGGAAAGTTCAGAGAAGGAAGGGATCTGCCCCAGCCTGGAGGCAGTCTCAGGGAGGACAGGAGGCATGAATTCGGCCTGCATAGGGCAGTAGGTCCCCAGGGCAGAAGAGGGACATTCAGCCCAAACAGGAGGAGGAATGGGAGTAAAGTGGGGAACAAATTAACAGCAGAATACTTTTGAGATGGTTCCTTATCTTGTACCTGCAGCCCTGAAATTTGACAATTCTTTTATTTCCTTTTCACTTTGTCTTGAGTAATCTTTTCTGCACTGTTTCCATCTACGTACGTATGTGAGCATTTGTGCGTGTGCACATATATATGTATATACATATATTTACATGTATATGTACTTACAGATATGTGTATACAGGCACATATGTGTATATATATTTTCTCAGTTTCCTATTTTAAAAGCAGAGACAGCAGACTCATCAAGGGCACAAAGAAAGTAGGTTAGGCTGGACCATGGTAAGAGTTAAATACAAAACTGAAGTGTTTTTTCATTTATTTTTTTTTTTTCTTGCTTCAAACAGGATTTGAGGTAGCCAGGAAGGAAGGAGTTTGAACTCCATCCTGTAGCCAGGCCACCATGACCCACGGAGAGGTCAACCGGAGCTTTCTGGAGGCTCCTCCTGCCACATCCCTTCCTGGCCCTGGGCCCCCCTGTGGCCTGGAAGGGTCCAGGCAGGGTTCCTTCAGCTGCTCTCAGCTTAGGATAGGAGTTCCTGACTGAAGCTCAGTGAGGAAAGAACTGCCCACTCATTACTGTTTCGACAAAAACTAATAAAAGTCATGCATCTCCCAAGACAAGGCTGAACAGCTAACTAAAGGGCTCTTTTTCTTTTCTTTTGACTAGAATTAGATCCACTCAGCATGTGGCAATACCTAGTATTAGAAACAGAAAAATATTTTTTTAAAAAAAACTTTGCCATCAAAGTTTTTTAAAAAGCAAATTAGCAAATTATGGCTTAAATATATGGTGAAAGAAACTTTTCAAAACATAGGTGGGGAAAAGTGGAGGGAGGCAGAATTAATGGGATCTTTGAATGGAAAGTGTGGAAAGGCTGGGAAGTGCCAGTAGGAGTCTCTGTTAGCCCACCTCATTCTCCCTATTCACAAAGCAGGCTTTGGGGAAGATCAAAAGATGCTTTTCTTTGAAAATGATAAAGATGCCCTCTCATGGGAAGTGGGGGATTAGGCATAGAAGAAACTGTTCAAGAAGCAGGCACCTATGTGATCACAGGGCAGAGCAGCTTGGACAGTGGGAGGAAAGGCCTGGTGCAATGCAAGTTATGCCGCATGCCATGGGGAGGCAGGATGTCTAGCCAGCTGTCTGCTGTGCCAGGAGAGGAGTGTCTAGGGGCATCACAACATGGGACCAGCAAGGAGCCAGCATGCACACTCACTTTGGAAGGGTCATAGTAATGCAGGAAAGCTGGATCCTTCCTCAGAACAAAGCGTCGAACCTTCCAGTTTTTCCTCTTGTGCCCCTGAGGCAAAGAAAGGGTTCAAAGCTCATTGGTGATAGCTGTATCTCCCTCTCTCCCACATCTATACATGTAATGCCAAACTCCCAGCAAGCCAGCCCGCTCCAATGGGACTACATTCTAAGACCAGTCAGCAGAAAACCCAAGGATAGCAATGACATGTCACAGACTTCCCTGCCAACACCCTCACTCAGTGACACTAGCCATCACCTAAGTCAAGTCAATATAGCCAAAGAGAGTCCACGCAGAAGGAGAGGGGACACATACCACTCAGGGCATGAAAGAAGACAGGGAGGCAGCAGGTATCAGCTGGGCTGGGAGCACACAGGCAAACTTGAACCCAGGGGCACCAGCTAAGGGCCAAGTCAGTCCAAAAACAAACCTGCAGCTGCAGGTACATTTGTGCAGTCTGCATGTGCGCCCACATGTGCAGTAAAACCACTTTCACATTGTGCGTTAGGAAAAAAAGAAATGCTCAATTATATGATAAAATCTAAATGTGTAAGAAGCTGACGTGTGTGTGTGTGTGTGTGTGTGTGTGTGTGTGACTTTCTTTAGCCTCACTGACCAGGAGAACTAAGGTTAGCTCATGAACCTTAGCCCTCCTAGTCAGGAACAACCTCAGAGTCCCTCCTACCCCCTCTTCACACTCCCTCAGGAAGGACTCCCATCAGGCCCAGCAGAAGCAGGGCCTTGGCACAGAGAGGCAGCGGTGGGGATGGTAAGAATCTAAGAGAAGATGAGGATCCTGATATGCAAGAAGCAGGTAACAGCAACAGCACATGCTCCAAGCAACAGTGGGAGCGATGCTGAGCCGTGTACATGCCCTCTGTGCAGACAAACACATTCACATGGTATACAACGTGCACAAACACAAGACCATACAAAATGTCTGCTACACTTCCTGTGCCAAGGACAAGTGATTTTGTTCACTGAATACCCTTTTTGTTAGGCACAGGCAGGAATGCTGCAAGATATGGCTTGCCTCTGGTTCTGCTTCTCCCAAACACGGTTTAAGATTAGTGGCCATGACCAGGTTTTGGGCCTTACAGTGAAGAATCTGTGTAACCCTGGGCCTTACAGTGCAGAATCTGATCTTCAACCTACCAACATGGTGGAGAAATTTGTTTTTGGGTCAGAAAGTGTATCAAGGGGGTGTGCAGAATCTCACCTGGGAAGGCAGAGACCCCAGGATGCCCCAAGGAATGGAAGGCCAGCACATGCGAAACCTCAAACCAGTCAGCAAAGCCTCAAAGACAAATATGTGAAGCCAGGCACTTCTGTAGAAGTTGTTTTTTTGATGTTGTGATAATTCTGTGTGTATATAGTACATTTTTCCCAAACAGCCCTTGTGTCTGGCACACGTGTGTGAGTGTGACATGTGCCCATTCTTTGACTTGCTTCTGTTGGCTGGTGCTAGGCTCCTGCCTTCGTAGATTCTGCTGTAATTGATGCCCTCCAGCAGCCTCAGCCCTTCCCTTCCTCTGGGCTTACTGCTGTCTCCCCTGAGCTTGAGAACTGTCCATCTTTATTCCATACTCCAAAACAGCCATACCTGCTTGGCCAGGTAGCCTTGTTTCACCACCATGCCACTTAACTCCACAGTGCTCAGGCTAATTTCTTCCCTGGGGCTTATCTTCTTTTTGTAGCTCTCAGCCTAGGGGGAAGGAGGGAGGGAGGACTCTGCTACAGAAAAGACCTAGGCCCAGGCTATGGGGGCTGTCAGAGGGGAAAGGGAATTCCTCAGAACAGAATCCTCATTCTGCAACAGGATGAAGTCATCTCCCAAGCCCAAGGTCTCCTCCGGTGACTGTGGACCCCAGGACCCCATTCTGTTGTGTATTCCTTAGCCTTTGCCCTGGTGGCAAGAACCCACTCCCTAACTTACGAAAGTATACAGGGCCGTGGAGTCATCCAAGAACTGCTCGGCCAGATCCCCAGAGCGAATGGCTCCCATGCTCCGGACACCCACCGGGCTGAGGAAATTCTCTTCCATGAGCATGGAGGCCAGGGTCACCCCCTCCAGACGGCTGGCCACAAAGCTGTTGGAGATGAGCCAGTCCACCAGGGAGGAACCTGGCCAAGAGCAGCACCAGTCAGGTGGCAGGCAACAGACCAGCATCCTTGTGTTGTGTGGCCAATGACCTCACTGAACTTGGCCCTCTGGGCAGCCTCATAGAGCCCTACCCAAGAGCAAAATGAAGGCCATACCTGCTGCATAGAGCTGTGGCTACGCACCCACACATGGTCATCTCAGGCAAGAGCACAGCTGAGCTTTGCATCACCATGTCCCAGGTCGAGTGCCCAGCCCAGCCCTGGGGGACTGGCTCACCGAGGAAGGTCTTTTTGTAGGTGCTCCCCTGCTCCATGTTGGGGCTTGAACGGATTCCGCTGCTGCTATTATGCATCTTGTCCACAATTTGACTACATGGAAGGGAAGGCAAAGGAGAGGGAACCCTCGTCATACTGGGAGGTACAAGGGAAGGTCCAGAGTCACTGCTAAGGGTATAAAGCAAGTAGCAAATGGTGTGACCCATATCACAAAGAAAGGGGGTATAGGAAAGCAGCCTTTTGCATGGAAGAGTGATACCATCTTGAAGAGAAGCCACCATGATGACTGATTTTGTGTTGTTTTTTGTTTGTTTGTTTGTTTGTTTGTTTTTTGAGATGGAGTCTCGCTCTGTCGCCCAGGCTGGGATGCAGTGGCATGATCTCGTCTCACTGCAACCTCTGCCTCTTGGGTTCAAGTCATTCTCTTGCCTCAGCCTCTGAAGCAGCTGTGATTACTGGCGTGTGCCGCCATTCCCGGCTAATTTGTCTATTTTTAGTAGAGACAGGGTTTCACCATGTTGGCCAGTCTGGTCTCAAACTACTGACCTCAAGTGATCCACCCACCCCTGTCTCCCAAAGTGCTGGGATTACAGGTGTGAGTTACTGTGCCCAGGCCGATGATGGATGTTGGACTCCTGCACACCACAGTATCCCCATAGCATAGATCGCCCCTCATAAAGATGTTTATCTAACCTCCCCGGTGGTCACAAGTTTCACAAGAAAGTCTGAGGCATGACTAGCTGCACATTTTCCCAAAAAAACTTGCTATATAAAGGATATTTTCTGAAGGATGAGTGTGGTGATTCACTGTCTCTTGGCCAGCAGATACATCACTTCTGTTTGTAATTCCCTATTAAATGCCTCTTTCTGAGAAACTGGATTTGTCAGCCTGTTTCTTATGCCTCTCAGCTGCCTTGGTCTTTGCAGGTAGGTTTGTTTACACCTCCTCACCACAGAATGGGGTGTTCAGTTATGCATCAAAATTTGAGAGGCAGGATTTTTAGATATTTCTTCTTCTTGCTTATCTAAATGTTCTAATATTTCTATCCCAGACACACGCTGCTTTTATAGTAAAACCAAAGAGGTGTGACTTTTAACTTACAAACCAGAGTGTATGCCGGGCACCATGGCTCACACCTGTCATCCCAGTGCTTTGGGGTACTGAGGTGGGAGGATCACTTGAGCCCAGGAGGTCAAGGCTGCAGTGAGCTGTGATCGCTCCACTGTACTCTGGCCCAGGTGACAGAGTGAGACCCTGTTCCAAAAAAAGAAAAACAAAAAACCCCAAAAGTACACAGTAGCCCATATGATTCTCCGTGGTCTCCTGCATTAAGTTCAACCCCCCACCAGCTACTTTTTGAACTATCTTTGAACCCACCTGCCTACCCACCCTTATCTGCAGCTGCTCCTCCCTGCACCCAACAGTGTTTAGCAGCTCTCTGGACTCATAGGAGGTATACAGTCAAGGTTTCAAAGACTCCCCTGGTAAGGAGTTTTTGTGAACCCAGAAATTGACTGGTGGACCCATCTTTGATGGGTGTAACACTTCTGTTGCCTGGGAGGTTTATAGAGATTTACTGTGGTTTGAATGTTTATCCCAAAACTCATGTTGAAAATCTCCAATGTGGCAATATTGAGAGGTGATGCCTTTAAGAGCTGATTGGGTCATGGGGGCTCTGCCCTTGTGAATGGATTAATCCATTCATGGGTTAATGGGTTAAATGAGTTAATGAATTATCATGGGAATGGGACTGGTGGCTTTGTAAGAGGAAGAGGGACCTGAGCAAGCATGTTAGCATGCTCAGCCCTCTCACTGTGTGATGCCCTGCATTGCCTTGGGACTCCACAGAGAGCTCCCACCAGCAAGAAGGCCCTCACCAGATGCAGCCTCTCAGCCTTGGACTTCTCAGCCTTTATAATGATAAGAAATAAATTCCTTCTTATAAGTCACCCAATTTCAGGTATCCTGTTATAAAGTAACAGAAAACAGACTAAGAAGACTTTGGGGGAGCTGTGACACAGCCCTGAGCACTGCTGAAATGGAATGGGGGTCTTGTGTCGTGGAGGTGTGCAGAGGTGGCAGGAACCTGGAGAGATTTCATAGGAATGGGGCAGGTAGGTAAGGCCACTTTCAAGCAGAGAAAGTAATATGAGCAGGACAGGGATGATGAAGCACGATGGTGGCATTAGCCAGGCTGTGCAGCAAGCACAGAGCCCCTACCCCACTCAAGGGGCCGGGTCCCCTGCCTACTGCACACAAGCAGGAGACACTGTGTAGAGCCTGGCAGGCAGGGAACTCACTGCAGGCTGATGTGGGGGGGCAGCTTGAAGGAGTTTCTCAGGTTGTGCAGCTGCTGGACCTTCCCCGGCTGCCCTGCATGAATAGCCCCAGTTATCTCAAAGGCCCAGGCGTCCCGCTCCTCTCGAGAACTGGCCTCCAGGAAGTACTCTGTTGACGTTTGAGTCTTCAGCTTAATGAGGAGCTGTGGGAAGAGACAGCCAGTCAGGCCAGCACTCAGGCAGAGCAAGAGGATGTCGGGCAGCAAAAATGATGGGGCCCTGGGAGAATCTAGGAGACGGTGACTGCCAAATGCCTTGAGCCCCCAGCCACACAGCAGGTGGTCTTTAAGGATTCACTTGGACACCTCCAGTGACAGGAAGCTTATGGCCTCACATGGCCACCTTCCCCTTGTGGACAAGGTAGTTAGTGTAGGAACTGCTTCCTGGACACGCTGGTTCTGTTCTCTCTTCTAGAAGCATACAGATGAAGACTCACCTCCTATGCAGCCCCTACAATGACGAGGGAAGTGCCCAGGCTTTAAAGTCAGACCCATCTGAACACAAACCCCAGATCTCCTGGCACATTAGGAAATAACAGGATATTAATGCCTACCTCAAGTGGACTGCTAGTCATGCTCCCTTCCGTCTTCTCTTCTCGTGTCTAAGCATCAAGTCTTTCACACATTTCTCATGGGATACGGTTTCAGCTTCTTCCCAGCCAGGTCACTTTGTTTTTTTGTTTTTGCTTTTGTTTGTTTGTTTTTGAGACAGAATCTCACTCTGTCACCCAGGCTGGAGTGCAGTGGCACAATCTCAGCTCACTGTAACCTCCACTTCCCAAGTTCAAGCGATTCTCTTGCCTCAGCCTCCCAAGTAGCTGGGATTACAGAAGTGTGCCTCCATGCCTGGCTAATTTTTGTATTTTTTAGTAGAGACTAGGTTTCACTGTGTTGCCCAGGGTGATCTTGAACTCCTGGGCATGATCCTGACCTCCTGATCTGCCCACCTTGGCCTCCCAAAGTGCTGGGATTACAGGCCTGAGCCACCGTGTTGGCCTCATTTTAGTCTTTCTAAGATCTTTCTAACAGAGTTTTCTTTTTTTTGAGACAGAGTCTCACTCTGTCGCCCAGGCTGGAGTGCAATGGCGTGATCTTGGCTCACTGCGACCTCCACCTCCTGGGTTCAAGTAATTCTCCTGCCTCAGCCTCTGGAGTAGCTGGGAGTACAGGAGTCTGCCACCACGCCCAGCTAATTTTTGTATTTTTAGTACAGAAGGGGTTTCACCATGTTGGCCAGGCTGGTCTTGAACTCCTGATCTCAAGTGATCTGCCCATCTCAGCCTCCCAAAATCCTGGGATTATAGGCATGAGCCACTACATCCAGTCTGTAAGAAAGTTTTCCTCAGACCATTCTCTCACTCAAAATCTTAAATGGCTCTCCTCCATTTACTTTCCTCTGGCCCAAACCAAGCTCCAATCACTCCTTTAGTGAAGGTTTCCTGTTGACCACACTGGAGGCCCTTCTCCCCAGAAGCCACACCCACCTCTCTCCAGGTATAGTCTTCTTACTTTTACTCAAGATATTCCACCTGTTCGAAATGACTGCCTCTCTCCTTGTTCCATCTTTACCCACATCTCTATTCCTGAAGCTTTGCCTGACCCAGCCTGAAATATATTTTTCCTCTTCAGGGATAAAGGGTTCTCTGCAGCTCTTGATAGCTGTGCCATCCTTGGAATGCCAAATGTGTTTTCAGTTAACCACTTGCTTTCTCAACAAAATGAAGAAACAGTCTTACCATTTTTTTCCTCAATTTCTCCATGCCTTGCAAATTTCTTGGCACATAATGGGCCCTTGATAAATGATTCATTGTTAGACTTTTTTTTTGAAAGTCTTGTTCTGTCACCCAGGCTGGAGTGTAGTGGTGTGATCTTGGCTCACTGCAACCTCTGGCTCCCAGGCCTCAAGCAATTTTCCTGCCTCAGCCTCCTGAGTAGCTGGGATTACAGGCTCCTGCTACAACATTCAGCTAAGTTTTATATTTTTAGTAGAGACATGGTTTCACCATGTTGGCCAGGCTGGTCTCAAATGCCTCACCTGGAGCAATCCACCCATCTTGGCCTCCCAAAGTGTTGGGATTACAAGTGTGAGCCACCACGCCCAGCCTAGACTTTTTTAACGGTAGGGTTGAAGCCACCCCTTAGTTATGGAACGCAGACCCCTCAGGGGATGAAAGCCATCACAGTGAGCCCCAAGATAGCAGTAATTACTCAGATTTGTGTGGCGCCTACCTCCCAGCCCACACTGTGCTCTAATACACCATGACCTTCAAAGTCCTCACCGCAACCACATGAGACACTCAGGGGTAATTATTTCATCCCATTTTACAGATGAGGAACAAAGGCTCAGAGAAGTTTAGGTACTTGTCCAAGCTCACATACTTGGTATGTGGCGTAGCCAGGATTTGAATCCAAGTTTTCCAGTTCTAACTCTGAGCTCTTCCTCCTACCCATACCAGTTTCCCAAAGAAGCCAGAGGTGGGAAGGGTCTGGGGCAAGGAGGAACTGGACAGCAGGGACCTTTACTTACTGGTCGGTTTTCGTAGTCCAGGCAGGGGCAGGTGATGGTGCAGCCATCCAGGAGGATCCGGCCCTTGGGAGGGTTCACTCTCCGACCCCCCTCAAGCTTGTAGTACACCAGCGTGTTCTGCCGAAGGACGAACCATCGCACCTTCCAGTTGTGGACAATGTGGCCCTATGGACAGACAAGAAAGCCCTGAGGTGAGTGGCTGAGGGGAGGGATGGTGTTCAGAGAGAGGTGTCCAGTGGCACAGGTAACCAGACTGTGCCATGGAAACAACTCTCCAACAAGGGAGATGGCAGGATCTGTGTCTGGATCTTTTCTGAGTATGTAGCAAAGACCTTTGGCACTGGCCTTCTAGTTCCCATTTGGCCATTTCTCTGGTTATAAACCTTGAAAGAAACTACAAAGTAAAAAGAAGAGAAACATCACTCACCTGTAATCCTACTTCTAGGAAATAGCCATTGCTAACATATTCTATTTCTTTCTAGTCTTTTTTACTTTTAGTTTTTGCATTCTGGCTTTTTTAAAAAAAAAAACTATGATTATTTTACATATACTTTTATTTTCTAGTTTTCTGTTTTTGTTTTTAGACAGGCTGGAGTACAGTGGCATGACCTCAGCTCACTGCAGTGTCTGCCTCCTGGAGTCAAGGGATCCTCCCACCTCAGCCTCCCAAGTGGCTGGGACTCCAGGTGTGTGCCACCACACCTGGTTTTTTGTAGAGACGAGGTCTCACTATATTCCCCAGGCTGGTCTTAAACTCCTGGGCTTGTGCAATCCTCTCACCTTGGCCTCCCAAAGTGCTAGGATTACATGCATGAGCCACCATGCCCGGTCCCTGTTTCCTTTGGCCTTGCTGAGCATCTTCTCACACCATTAAATTTCTGTAAAACATATTTTTAATGACCATCATGTGGATACATAGTTTACTTGCCAACTTCTATTGTTTGTAACTGAGGTTGTTCCATATTTTTTTCACTATTCTGTAATGAATATCCTTGCACATACAGTTTGACCTGCATCTGGTTTTTTTTCCCTTTGGTTATTTTCCTAGAAAGAATATTACTAGTCAAAGGATGAGGGCAATATGAGGCCATTTACAGTCTCCCAGTGCTAAGGACTCTAACAGTCTTACCTAGCCAGGTGTGGCAGGCTAAAGACATAGGTAGTTTGGGTGGTTCTCAGGTAGATCATAGAGCCAATGGACAGAAGAGCCAGGTGAACACGGAAAGCCTATTTCTAGAACGGATCAGTGGATGAGGAAATGTCTGCTGAGGGATCAGAAAGGAATGAGTTTAGTACATAATCCCAAAAGCCCCTTCCTGGCGTATTTCCAAAGCCCAACTTAGGGCTAGGTTCTAACCGAGAGAAGTGCTTTATCTGAATCAAAGTCCATAGCCCCAACTCACTCATTTCCTTGCCTAGCACTGATTCATATCAAAGGCCAATCTCTGGTGCTATGATTCTATTCTACATGCAGCACGTACTGAGAACTGTTAAAAAACCAAAAGTTATAAAAGGAATTGTCTGCTTCAAAGTTATTTGTGCATATAACAGAGCTTTGTGATCACTGACCTGAGCCCAAACAGAATTTACCGTGACAACGAAATAAGACTTATAACACAGCTAATCTAACAAGAGTTTATTAACATGTCTCATTGTTATTACACTACACGATGATCACTCTGTTCCCAGGAGAGGGCTCGTGCAGTCTATCGGAATTGCACATTTTTGCTCTTCACTGTTCCTTACTTACATCCACATGTAGTATGGCCATTGACAGTTTTACCTGACACAAGCAGACATGTTTAAAGAAACAAAAAATATTTGCCTTTGACTTCTCAGCTATTGGGGTTCTCTACTGCTCTGCACATAGTCCAGCTTCAGGTCACTTTCCTATGACCCCTCCCAACTGTGGGGGTCCTGAGGCAGCACTAGCAGGACTGGTCTTGGGCATCTGGGTGCTTCTGAATCCAAGGCAGTAAACTGCTGGCCCCCAAGGTAGCTGGTAGGGAGAGGAGAATGCAATCTAAGTTCATGGTAGGGGGACTGGTAGGAGGTGGAGGAGAGGAGAGGGCAAAAGAATCTTAGGGCTGATCATGGTGGTTCATGCCTGTAATTCCAGCATTTTGGGAGGCCCAGGTGGGAGGATCACTTGAGGCCAGGAGTTTGAGACTAGCCTGGGCAACACAGTGAAATGTCATCTCTACAAAAAAATGTAAAAAGTAGCTGGGCATGGTGGCATACATTTGTAGTCCCAGCCATTTGGGAGGCTGAGGAGGGAAAATCATTTAAACTGATGAATTTGAGGCTGCAGCAAGCTATGATCACATAGCACTCCAACCTAGGTGACAGAATGAGATTTTGCCTCTTAAAAAAAAAAGTGGTATGGGCTGAAATGTGTGCCTCCAAAATTCATATGTTGAATGCCTAGCCCCATGCCTGAAACTAGGAATGTATTTGGAAATACATCCCCTTTAAAGAGGGAATTGAATTAAAATGGGGTCATTAGGATGGGCTCTAATCCAATCGGACTAGCATCTTTATAAGAAGAGGAGATTTAGATTGGGTGTGGTAGCTCATGCCTGTAATCCCAGCAAGCTGGGGGGCTGAGGCAGAAGGATTGCTTGAGCCTGGGAGAACCCATGTCTATTAATAAAATAATAATAATAATAAATAAAAATTAGCCAGGCATGGTGGCACGTGCCTGTAGTCCTAGCTACTTGAGAGGCTGAGGTAGGAGAATTGCTTGGGCCCAGGAGGTTGAGGCTACAATGAACCATGATTATGCCACTACACTCCAGCCTGGGCAACAGAGTGAGTCCCTGTCTCTAAAACAACAGTAACAATAATTTTAAAAAGAAGAGGAGATTTAGACACACAGAGCACTCACACAGAGGAAAGACCAATGAGGACACAGTGATTAGGTACCATCTGCAAGCCAAGGAGAGAGAGGCTCAGAAAAAAACCAAACTGCTGGTACCTTGATATTGGACATCTAACATGCAGAACCATGAGAAATAAATCTCAGCTGTGTAAACCACCGATTCTGTGATATTTAGTTATAGCAGCCCTTGCAAACTAATATGATAGGGAAAGGAAGGAGACGCGTGATGTAAGAGGAGAAAAATGCAACCCATTGTATTGGGCAGAAAATACAAATACAGGCTGGGCACGGTGGCTCACACCTACAATCCCAACATTTTGAGAGGCCGAGGTGGGTGGATCACCTGAGGTCAGGAGTTTGATACCAGTCTAGCCAACATGGTGAAACCCTGTCTCTACCAAAAATATAAAAATTAGCCGGGTGTGGTGGCATGCACCTCTAATCCCAGCTACTCAGGAGGCTGAGGCAAAAGAATCACTAGAACCCAGGAGGCAGAGTTTGCAGTGAGCCAAGATGATGGTGCCACTGCACTCCAGCCTGGGTGACAGAGGGAGACTTCATCTCAAAAACAACAACAACAACAACAAAAACAAATACAGAGATGTTATACTTTCCTGGATGAAATGTTACATTTCCCAGAGTCCCTTCCACTTAAGGAAGTTTCTGTCAATTCCACGCAAGGGGTATTGATGCATTTTTTTACTTTAAATGTTTTGTTTTTAATCTTCATGGGTACATAGTAAGTATATATATTAATGGGGTATATGAGATGTTTTGATACAGGCATACATTGCATAATAATCACAGTATGGAGAATAGGTATCCGTCCCCTCAAGCCTTTATCCTTTGCGTTACAAACAATCCAATTATACTTTGTTTTAGTTATTTTAAAATGTACAATTAAGTTATTATTGACTATAGTCACCCTGTTATGCTATCAAATAGTAGATCTTATTCTTCTAATTTTTTGACCCATTAACCATTCCCACCTCCCCTGTAGCCCCGCCCCCGCCACCCTTCCCAGCCTCTGTTAACCATCCTTCTACTCTCTATGTCCATCAGTTCAACTGTTTTGATTTTTAGAGCCCCTAACTTTAAAGATAAGGAAACAGAGGCCCAGAAAGGTCTTGCCCGAGACCGTATAACCCTGAGAAAAGCAGAGATGCTAGCTGGGCCCATGGTGGGTACTTGCAGTCCCAGTTACTTGGGAGGCTGAGGAAGGAAGTTCGCTTGAGCACAAGAGCTCAACATTGCAATACACTACGATCACCCCTGTGAATAGTCTCTGTGCTCCAGCTTGGATAACATAGTGAGACAGTATCTCCTGAAAAGAAAATTAAAAAGAAACAAAAGAAAGAAAGAAAAACAAAGATGGGATGGTAATTGCTACAGGTTGAATTGTATCCCCCTCAAAAAAGATATGTCGAAGTGCTAACCTCTGGACCTGTAAGTGTGATGCTATTTGGAAATAGAGTCTTTGCCGATATGGTCAAGTTAAGATGAAGTCACCCTGGTCTGGAGTGGGCACTAATCCAATATGACTAGTGTCTTCCTTATAGGAAGAGGAAAATTTGGACACTAAGAGACACATAGGGAGAGGATGGTTACGTGACAACAGAGACAGGGGTTGCAGTGATGCATTTAGAAGCCAGGGAATGCTGAGGGTTGCCAGCAAACACCAGAAGCTAGAAGGGCAAGGAAGGACCCTCCTCCACAAGTTCAGAGGCAGCGTGACCCTGGAAACACCTTGACTTTGCACTTCCAGCCTCCAGAACTCCTTCTGGTCTTTTTCTTCTTTGCGTATTTTTTCTCATACATTTTATCATTTTACTCTTTGGATTTTAATACTATAAACATTTTCAACATCTGTATAACCATAATTTAATTAGTCATTTGGTGGGGACAGACAGGTAGTTTTCAGTTTTTTTTTACCACATAAATAAATGACTCTTTGTTGGCCAGGCACCTGTAATCCCAGTACTCAGAGAGGCCAAAGTGGGAGGATGGCTTCAGCCCAGGAGTTCAAGACCAGCCTGGGCAACATGGTGAGACCCTGTCTCTATATAAAAAAAAATTTTTTTAAACAAAAAACAAAAATTATCTGGGTGTGGTAACATGCACCTGTAGTCCCAGCTACTAGGGAGGCTGAGGTGGGAGGATTGCTTGAGCCCGGGAGGTCAAGGCTGCAGTGAGCCCTGCTGGTGCCACTGTACTCCAACCTGGGCAACAGAGTGAGACCCTGTCTAAACAAAATAAATAAATAACGGTGGGGTGTGGTGACTCACACCTCTAATCTCAGCAATCTGGGGGGCTGAGGCCGAAGGATCACTTGAGCTAGGAGTTTGAAGGCAAACCCAAACAGCGTGGGCAACAGAGTGAGACCTCATCTCTACAAAAATATAAAATAAAATAAAAATAACTCTTTGTTATAAAGCTTTTATGGAGCTTTACAGCAAAGGTAGAGCCCTACACACAGAATTTCTAGGCCAGTGCATGTTCACATTGCAATGTTATTCACAATATGAGCTGGGCAGGAACACCTGGCAGTGCTTCTGCCTCTTCTCCCAGAAAAAGCACTCCTGCCCATGGCTCATCCCCCACTTCCTTCCCCCAACTCCCCGGAGAGCCAAGTCCAATGAGCTCCCTGTATTTTGCCCGGAGTTCTGCTTTTTTCTTGTCTGAGCGGATTAAGAGCCAACTCCATCGTGCCCCTGCCTGTCTCTGGCTTCACCTTCACCAATGATGACTGTTCTGCACTCCAGCGCCCAGCTCAGGCCCTTCCCCACCCCTGAGCTCTTAACTCTCCTAAAACTATGGAACCCCCTGCCAAAGCCTGCAACTTCTCCAGTGGACACAGGGACTGCTGTTGCCACCCAAGACGAAAGGGGTTGGAAAAGCTGAAATTGCTCAGCAGGCTGGGACCTCAACAGGGGTTCTTGGGCCACATCCTCACCCTGCAGGGAGGGGTGTGGCTTCTGTCTCAGGGTCAGGCTCCAAATCGCAGTCCCTAGATTTGGCTGGAATGAGCTCTAGGGATTTCAGCCAAGCCCCGTCTTTTCCAAGGGCTTATGGGGACCAGACCTGTTGACTCCTCATTTTCTGCACCCTGGATTCCCTAAACAGGCCACCCAAAAGAGAACTTCCATCCTTCTCCTGGAGATATCCTGGGAGCCCTTAGCCCTCCTCTGACTCTCAGCGTGGTGGGGGTGATAGGGAATGATGGAAGGTAACCCCCAGGAACAGGAGGAGGAGGCCCCCCAAAACTCCCAAAGCCACATCAGAAATATCAGTCTCCATGTTAACTTCATTCCTCCACAGGCCTTACCAGGCCCAGCCATCAACTGTGCCAACCAAAAGCCCCATGCCCAGCTCTCCCTCTCCCTCCCACCTCCCAAGCTTCAGTTAAATGTGATATTAGGACGATGGAAACTCCCCATGTGTAGTCTCTCTGAGGTGCAACCACCTCCACATGCTGTGAGAAACTGGTCTATCAGTTCAGCCACAGTGGCAAGATGTGGGCGTGGCACTTTGTACTGCTCTACCCAGTCTGACCCTTGATCTGGCATCAGCCTCTACCCTCCTAGCTTACTGTTTCCAGCAAACAGCCACTGCTCTCCTCAAATAACATGTAACACATGTGGACACATTTTGTGGGGAAAATGAAAGTGATCTGAGACTTTAGGGCTGATCCAGTCACCCAGGGAGGAGACGAAAGGAAGGGACCCTCATCCCACTTTGTTCCCCTTCCACAGCTGAAAACTCAGTAGAAGAACCAGAAGGCTCAGCCCTGGATTTGTATGTTCGTTTGCTATGCCATCATGGCAGTATAAATGGTTAGTGTTAATGTCATTGTTCAAATTACGCTCTGTGTGGTGGCTCACGCCTGTTATCCCAGCACTTTGGGAGGCTAAGGTGAACAGACCACTTAAACCCGAGAGTTCAAGACCCGCCTGGGAAACATGGCAAAACCCTGTCTCTACAAAAAAATACAAAAATTTGCTGGACATAGTACTGGGCACCTACAGTCCCAGCTACTCAAGAAGCTGAGGTGAGAGGATCACCTGAGCCTGGGAAGTTGAAGCTGTGGTGAGCCATGATTGTGCCACTGCACTCCAGCCTGGGTGACCCCGTCTCAAAAAAAAAAGGTCAAGTTAGGAAAAAAACTTGAAATCACAAACTTCCTCTTGCAGTCAATCTTTTGTTCATCTTCTACCTTAATCCCAGGCACCAAGTTTTTCTTTGCACTCTTGCTTGCCCTGGGCCACCTGGGGTGATGGGGAAGGACTGAGGAGGGAAGGTCAGAACATGCAGTTCCAGTCCCAGCTATTACTGGCTCTGGAGCTCTCAGCAAACTAGTTCATCTTTCTGATCCTCAGTTTCCCCATCTGTAATAGAGTGATGTCAATACCCACCCTGTATGGCACTCCGGAGGCAGGATAAGTTTTGGGTCAACCTGAGTGGGTCTGATCCGGATCCTGCCTCCACCACCCACTGCCTCCACCACCCTGAGCAAGTTCCCTAACTCCTCTGGGCTTCGTTTTCCACCTTGATGAAAGGGGGCCAATGAGGTACCACTGATCCCGCAGGGCTGCTGGAAAGATGAAATGAGACAATGTCCAGGGCTGGCCAATAGTAGGTACTTAGGACACATAGCGTTCCTCCTTCTTCACAGGTTGTAAATTGCAGAGCACAACTATGTTATCTTCGTAAATCTTATTTAAACACCATACCATTCATAACATTTTAACAAGTTGAAATTAAGACCCCCGCTTCGGTACCCCAGCCCCGACTCCATACTGCGCTAACCAGGTGGGACTCTTGTCCTCGACTGTACATGGCCCCTCTTTTATGTCTAAAGCTTTCCTCCGGCTCCGGGCGGACGTCCAACCACTGCTCACCTCGCATCCTTTCAGACATGCAGCTCTGCCCCATCAGGGGCCACAGGCAGCTCAGTCCTACCACGGGGGTTGGAGATAGGGACCAGGGCAAGCCCGTCCCGGGGAGCACGTCTGACCCTGCTCAAGGGAGCCGCGCTGGCGGGGCCCCACCCGGGCAATGTCCCGAGACTCGGAAACGCGCTCACCCTCTTGACCAGGAAGCCCTCCTTGAGCACTCCGTCCTCCATGTCGCCGCCCGCGCGCCAGGGCCACCCCAGGTGCGCAATCCCCGCGCCTCACGCTTCTCGGCACCCGCGCAGCCGGGGCAGCCCGCGCCCACTGCGCCCAGGAAGCGGCTCCGACGCGGCCGGGCGACGCCTCCCTGGCGCGTGTCCAGAGCCTGAGGCCCCGGGGCAGGAAGTCAGACCAGGTCGGGATTTCTTACATGACGTTTCCACCCGAAAGTGCTCCAGGATCGGTGGTTGGTCCTCAAGGTAGAGTCTACCAGCCCCGCCCCATCCAGGTGCCTACCACGCCCCTCACTGATCCAGTCTCTCTGCTCAGCGTCCTAGCCAGGTGCTTCACTGGCACTTAGCAGATTGCCCTCGAGGAACGCTTATCGAATTAACAAAACCGAAAGGACTCCAGGATTTTGAGCCATTCCTGAGCTCATTGGAAGTAGGAGATGGGACAGTGGATGAGCGGGAACTGGGCTGGGAACTTTATACTGGCCTCTGATGGGGGTAGAGAAGACCCCTCAGTAACAGGAAGGTCACAGTTTTAGGGAGGCAGGCGCAGTCAGCAGGGTCCCCTGTCCCCAAGATTTTACCCTACTCCCTCAAAAAAGGTGAAGCCAAAAATTCCATCATTAAGGGCAAAATTTAAGGGGACACCAAGGAGTAATCTAGATACATTATATATACAGATAGATGATAGGTTTTGTTGGTTTTTTGTTTTTTGAGACAGGGTCTTTCTCTGTCACCCAGGCTGGAGTGCCATTGTGTGATCATAGTTCACTGCAGCCTTAAACGCTAGGCTTAAGATCCTCTTGCCTCAGCTTCCCAAGGAGCTAGGACTACAGGCAGGCTCTACCATGCCTGGCTGGTTTATTTTTATTGTTTGTAGAAATGGGGTGTTGCTCTGTTGCCCACGCTGGTCTTGACTCCTGGCCTCAAGCAATCTTCCTGCCTGGGCTTCCCAAAGTGCTGGGATTATAGGCCCAAGACACCATGTAAGACCTAGAAAAATAATATTTTAAAGCAATTTTTTTTTTTTGAGACAGAGTCTTGCTGTTGCCCAGGCTGGAGTGCAATGGCACAATCTTGGCTCACTGCAACCTCCACCTCCCAGGTTCAAGCAATTCTCTGCCTCAGCCTCCCTAGTAGCTGGGATTACAGGTGACTGCCACCACGCCCAGCTCATTTTTGTACTTTTCTTTAGTACCCACAGGGTTTCACCGTCTTAGCCAGGCTGGTCTTGAACTCCTGACCTCATGATCCACCCACCTCAGCCTCCCAAAGTGCTGGAATTACAGGCATGAGCCACCACACCTGGCCAATATTTTTTAAAAAATCAAAATTAATGTCAAAAAATCCACGATGAACAAAATGCTAACATTTTAAATAGCTAGGATCAACAATATTCTATCCAGCCCTATTGAACCCTGGAATAGAAGGAAACATCAGTACAATAGTACTGATTCTGTCTAGCAATCCTTAAGACACAGTCACACAATTTTTTTTTTTTAATTTCTATTCTTAGAGACAGGGTCTCACTATATTGCCCAGGCTGGTCCTGAACTCCTGGGCTCAGGCAGTCCTCCTGCCTCAACCTCCAAAGTGCTGGGATTGTAGGTGTGAGTCATGGGGCTGGCTTACATTCATTATTTGTGCTCCAGTTTGAAAGCCCTGTCAGGACTCTTCACCAGGCATGGGAAAGGCCCTCAGAAGCCTGTAAGGGAAGAGAAGACTCCAGAGAGGAAGAAGGTGAACCAGACTGTGGAAGGTGGGGGGTGCCTTTCAGAACCAGACTGAAGCCGGCTCCCATACCAGTCCCTGCCCTGGAGCTCTGGCCACAGCACAGCTTCTACATGTCTGTAGTAGACATATTACTTCCCCTCAATCCCTACTCCCACTCCCCAGCCCCAAGGAAACTCAAAGGGTCTGGGTCACCGTGTGCCAGCCCAACGGCCCACTCTAGTCTTCTGCACTAACTGGCCTTTAGACTTCCCAGGAAGCTCCAAAGCAGTGGGCCTTCCATTCTGATTCAGAATGAATATCGGCTCGGCACCTTTGAAGCCAGGCCTGTAGTAGTAGGTGCTAGGTTTTATCTAACACACAGCAACCCCATGAGGTGAGTTTATTATCTCATTTTTCTGGTCAAGGAAACTGAGGCTCCACACAGTTAAATAACTTGCTCAAGGTTACACAGCTCCAGGGCATTGCAAATACTCTTGCTTCCTAAGGAATTGTCTCAGCTCTGAAACCTGGCTGGGCTGAAACCCAGGACTTGAGAGGTTGATCTGGGAAGTTCTAATCCTCTTTTGCTCTAACTGTGGTTTGTCCATCTCCTTCCTCAAAGAGGCTGTCTGGTCCCACCCAAACACAATCTTCTGAGGCTTAGAAGAGGTGGCATTTTTTTTGGCAAGAGGGCTTCTTGAATGGGTTCACAGAAATGGGAATGGGAGAAAGATGGGTGCCCTCTCCTGGCAGGGTCCTGCCAGGAAGAAGTTAAAGCACACTTAGAACGTGCTTCCTGTCCTAGGAAACCCCTGGTCCAGCCCACCCTGCCTGACTCACTGGAACTGGGGAATGAGTCATACCCCTTCCTTCCCTAGGCTGTGGTGGCTGAGCCACCAGCCCACCGGGGAACCATGATGACATAAGCCCAACTCACCCATAGGGAAGAGGATGGAGACAGAAGGAAGCAGACAGCAGTAAACAGCTGGGGGAGGGGAAGGGACAAGAAAGAAGCTTACAGACAGACACTCCTCCTCCCCGGAGACTGATGTGGAAGGGTCCCTGATCCTCTTAGCTCCTTCTCTTTTTGTAGTGAAGGGGAAGGGACAGATAATGCCTAGGGTGCTGAGTTGTAGAAAACTATTAGGTCTGGGTTTGGATATAGGTGATTCACAGCCAGATGTGAGATTCTGCCATTAGAGAATCATTCTTCTAGCTTCAGATAAGAATCCCCTGTTTAAGAGACATACAGTGGAAAAGGGTAAATCGTGGAAACTTATTCACAATGAATGCCTGGACCGCATGAGTTTATCAGAATCACAGAATCACAATCTAACCCCTAAAGATCATCTAATCCAGATGCTTCGTTTTATAAATGAGGACCCTCAAAGTCCAGGGAAATAAAATGACGAGTCCAAGGTCTTGCAGCCAGTTAGTGGCAAAACCAGGGCCAGAATACAGGCTAATGGAGCTCAAGGCTGGCTCCTAGCAAATACAGGGCACTGCCCCCAGCAGCGACCTGTATCAGAGCACCTTGCAGTAAGAGGGTGGCTGCAGGCTGAAGGGCTCTGGCTGCAAAACTGGAAAAGACTATAAAACATGCTGCTACATTTTTTTTTCTGACCATAAATTTGTGCATATTAGAAAATTTAGAAAATACCAAAATAGATAAAACCACCCCAAACCTATCACATAGATGATCAATATGTTTATATGCATATAATTTTTAAATTAAATTATACTTAAAAATTTTGAACACTGCCTTTTTTTTTTTTTTTACTTGTAATAGCTAATAAGCATCTTACCAGGTCATTAAAAGTAATTCAAAAACATAATTTAAATAACTGCATAGAATTTCATCATGACTGTATTTAATCATTCCCATGTAGGTTGAATTTCCTCTATCACTGTGTAAATAATGTTATAAATATCTTTGCACATAAACATTTTTCCAGATCTCTGATTATTTCAGATAAACATCTAAGGTATAATTTTAGGTTAAAGGGTATAACTTTTCTTTAATTCTTGAAACTTATCACAAGACTGATTTTTATAAATGTACCACATGATATCCTACCAGCAGCATATGAAAATGCCAACCTCACAGAGTCCACACCAGCATTCTGTATAGTATTTTAAGGAATATAAATCATTCTATTTTAAAGATGCATGCATGAGTATGTTCATTGTAGCACTATACGCAATAGCAAAGACATAGAATCAACCCAAATGCCCATCAATAATAGACTGGATAAAGAAAATGTAGTAAATATACATCATAAAATACTATGCAGCCATAAATAGGAATGAGATCATGACGCTGGAAGCCATTATCCTCAGCAAACTAACAGTAACAGAAAATCAAACACCACATGTTGTCACTTGTAAGTGGGAGCTGAACACTGAGATCATATGGACATAGGGAGGGGAACAACACACACTGGAGCCTCTCAGAGGATGTAGAGGGAGGGAGAGCATTAGAAAAAAAAAGCTAGTGCATGCTGGGCTTAATACCTAGGTGATGGGTTGATAGGTGCAGCAAACCACCATGGCACACATTTACCTATGTAACAAACATGCACATCCTGCACAGGTAGCCCAGAACTTAAAATAATTTAAAAAGAAGCTTTGCTTATTTAAAAATGTATTTGCTTATTTATTTTTTAATCAGTCCACATCATGCTTTGAGTAGAAAACTTTTCTCAGAACCAGCAGAGACAATCCTTACTTGCATAAGTTGTGTGTTTCTCAAAGTTGAGCCCTGCTACCTGGGAGACAGCCAGCTAGAGCGACGCCCCCTGGAAGAGACTCAGAACTGAGACATTGCTGAAAAACTGCTGGGGAACTGGGCAGTGAAGTCCCAGAGTAGGGCATCACTTGTAGGAAAAGGAGGACGTGTGGGTTCCCGAGCAGTCAGGAGAGTGCCCTGAAGGCATTGAAAAGCTCGGGCAGAGGCAAAAAGCCAGAGGAGAGAGAAGCTAGAAGTGCAGGCAGGAAAAGACTAATAAGATATTTTACCTAATTCATGGTTTTGCCCAAGGCCATCCAGCAAATTGCCCTGCTACGGCAGAAATGTATATCATTTATCTGTGGATTCATTCATTCATTCACTAAAGCAGGAGACATATGCTATGTCCTGTATACAAAGCATAGACAGTCTTATGGGCCACACACGAACCTGCCCTGGGGCCTCATATGTCAGTGTAAACAAGGTATCTTTTTGATTAACAGCAGCATTATTGATTAACAGCATCTTTTGTTCTAATTCCTGGGACACAGCAGTTCACAGGGCAGGTGCTCCACTGCAGAGGTGGCCTCTCACACTATCTGTGGTGAAGACTGGATTTCTGAGCTGTGACAATTGGGTGGTCATACCTGTACATGACCGGAAAACAGCCTCTGCCACAAGTGACTTGTCGGAGACTTCTACATCACCCAAACTGGTCTATATTCTGCTCAGTGAATCAGGGCCATGGACCATGTGCTGGAATGTTGTG